CGCCCCCCCCCCCCCCCCCCCCTTCCGCCTCCAGTGGATAGGAGCTGGTTAGGCTGCGGAGAGGCGAAGGGAGGAACGGCGCATGCGTCGACTCACTCGCGAGGGCGGGGAAGCTCAAGACCAGGCGCCGGCGGCTTTCTCCCAGCCTTTCCACTTGGACTGTCCTGCTCCCCCTTTTTTTGGTATGGACTTAACCTAACGTGCCTACCCTGACACGCCGCCCTTGAAAGATGAGAACCCATCTGCATTTCTGAAAAAAAATATTTCTTGCCCTCTTAAAGGGGGGAATCCATTACGTTCAGGGACGTTTCTGTCACGATGCAAAAATTACTCCATCTTGTCAGAAATTTCGGTACATCCCGATTTCCCTCACACCTGTACCAAGAGCCTCCTGCTCTCTACTTCCACCTCCTCAGACCTTTTCCTTCCAGCCTCACTTTGAACCACTAGCCCGTCACGTTCCCACACTTCATGCACAGGTGCATCCATTCCTCTACTCGTACCGCTCGACCATCCCCCGCTCGTCCACTCACTTTCCTTCGTTTCTCCCGGGACCCCGTCGGTGATGCTCTCGACGATCTTCTTCGCCTCGGCCGTCTCCATCTCCTTGTCCTTGTCGGGGTCGTCCCCGTCGGCTGACGCCTCCTCGCCGGCCTTCCCGTCCTCCTCCCTCTCCTGGAGTCGCTTGAGCTCCCTCTCCTGCGAGGATCGCTGCTGCCGCTTCAGGCCCAGCTGCTGCAGGTGGTAGGCCGCGTACTTGATGAACGTCATGTAGCGGGACCTTCGGAGGAAGCATTGCACGCGTGTAACGCTTTCTCGACGTCAATTACACTTTCTTGGGGGGGAGTTACAAATTACAGCTCGCTTGCAACCTTTAATGTTTTCCAGAAAATATTAAAATCGGAAAATGTAGCAGTAGATACTGTAACAAGTGAGAAATGTTTCCTTTGCTCTTTCACATACTAATTCCTTCTGTTCTCCTTCCCACTTCCAGATGTACTTCAACCAAAATGTTGCAAGATGCACCAAAGATTTTACAAAAGACTTAACATTAGCATTTGTGATCAAAGCTCCCTGAAAAACCACTTTACAATGGGCTGAAATCAGGTAATCTTTAGAGGCAGACTCATCTCAAGCCAAGTATTGTAACTTGCAACTGTACATAATTTAAGTAGCAGAAAAGGTAAACCTTTACTCTGCACTACATTTCCATCAAAAAGAAACTGCATCTAGTTATCACTTAAATGCAACTTATCTTAATCTCATACTCGTTTCGACACAAGGGCATGCGAGGGCATGCCCCGACTGAAAATGCGAAAGACTCGAATCCGTCGCCCGAAACTCACTCGACGAAGGCGTCGATGAGCTCCTGTCGCAGGCACGCCAGCTTGTGCCGGTGCTCCGCAGGGAACCCCAGCACGTGCGCTTCCTTGCTCAGCTCCTCTCCCTCCAGCCCACCTGCAGATGCATCCCGGGTCAATCTCGCACGCTCTGAGGTTTCGGTCGCGCTGCATCTCCCCCTCCCTCCCATCGACTGATCCGCGAGTTTCCGCTTTAACACTCGGCAGTGGAGCGGATCCAACACAAAACAGCAGTTTCCCACGAACGCGATTTTGCAGCCACGCGAGGAAAGATACGAAAGCTTAGCCGATTCCCTGCAGAGAACTAAATGGGACTGAAAAAGCCAAGCTCTGCTCATATAAAAAATACATAAAAATTAAGTTTGCAAGGATGACTTTTGACTCAAGGTAATTTACCCAATGAAGTTGAAACTAACCCTATATGTAAAAAAAAAAATCACTGAGTCCTACTCAAAAATCAATGAGTCCTACTACAGTAGCTATGCCTATCCAACTCGTTCATCTTTCTTTCTAAGCAAATTTATGAGCTTTCGATATTAAAACATATATTTCTAGTCGGCTTACAGAGTCGGGGACGAATTAAAACTACCAGCAACATGGTTCATCGTAAAACGGCACAGAGGATCGCCGCAATCGATCGCAAGGCGGATCCGAGCACGCGCATCGACTGCGACCGGAGGACCGACCCTTGAGGAAGTTGACGTCTGGTGGGAACGTGCGGAGGAGGTCCAGGATGTAGTAGCGCCCGTCGTTCCCGACGATCCCCTTGCACTCGACCGAGGAGCACAGCTCGATCTCCTCGTTCCGGTCGTTGACGACCGTGTGCGGGAGGATCTTCAGCTGCTGCCCTGCCCTCTTCAGCTGCAAGCAAAAAGGTAAGCATAACTTAAGAGTTTAAAAAATATGTGATTTTTTAAAACAAATTCAAGTAATTTATTAGGGGCCAGACTTTCCTGGTAAATTTCAACATTATCACTTCCAGCTGGATAAATTAACAAAGAACTCTTCATCATGGAACAAAAACAGGGTATACATTCCCGTTGTCCTACACAAATCACTGCTCCAATTCAAAGAATGCATATTTCAAGAGACATAGAACGGTACCGATTTGATTTTGGCATGTGTTCTATTCTAGTTTGGTTAATTCCAAAATTGAATCCACTTGCTAACCTGAGTCCATGTGACTTTTCTGTTTAAGCAAGGGAGCAAGGGACCTCATAGATAACTGCACAAGTTCAGTTCCTAAGAACATCCAGTATACAGCTAATTACACTCATCACAAACTTTCCACAGATGCAAGCAAAAAATCAAACAAAGCCAGATTCCAACTCCACCCACCCCAATCAATCTACGTGACAGGCATCAACTTCATCATGAATGTAGCCCGAACTAAAAATCTGGAAAAAACCCAACTCTAAACACGGACGCCAACTGGCACTTCCGCAGACGTTTCGGGCCGACGTCTGCCGAGGGAGAACGACGAGACTCACGAGGTCCATGTACTTCTCCTGGGTGACCACAGTCTTGCCGAAGTCGATGGAGCCGTAGACGACGCTCTGCTCCTGCTCCCGCTCGAGGATCCCCGGGATGATGGACTGGGCCGTGACGCGGTACCCGCGGTAGTCCACCACCACCGTGCCCAGCGTGTACAGCCCCTCCAGGTCCACTGCACTGTAGACCTTCACACCCTGCAGGTCGTTCCTCTGCACCCGAGAAGAAAAATCGGAAAGGATGAAGAGCGGCCGACACCAATGTCGACTGATGCGAGCGAGACGATGCGGAAATAAAGCATCCCGATAGACACGGGCCTGAATGCAAGTGGGCCTAAAGCTTTTTGTGTTTGGAACAAAGAACAATGCAATGCTTTCCAGGGGACACAATTCAATGTTAACAAGACACCTATGTCTAGGACATATTTTTCATCAATCCCTCAGCACTGCCAGTGACCAGACTGACTACATAAACCAACTCAGACAGACCTTGATTTATCTTTCTTTCCATTCAACTTTTCAAAGGCTTCTAGTATGAAAAAAAAAGTCAGCCAAAAAATTATAAGCATTCTAACATTTTTCAATCATACCAGTTGCTCAAGCAATTGCTTATAGCAATAGTTTCCTTCAGACTAGTTTCCTATTAAATTTCATTTCTTAAAAGGCACAATATTAATCATAAATGCATGCAGGGAGACACCTTCCAGCTCAAACGACCAACGCCACCTACCGGAGCGACAAATGCAGCTGCGTCCCCACCCAGCTCTTTGTAGTGGTCACGCACGTCGAAGCCAAGGGAGAAGAAGATGTTGTTCCAGATGAACATGTGCATCTTGGGGTCCTCACCGGGGTTGATGGCCATCACGTTCCCGTCGATCACGGCCGTCGCCCCGCGGGTCGCGGCGCTCACGAAGTCGCTGTGGACCTGCAACAAAAATCGGACTTCAGGATGAGACTTGGAACAAAATTTGAAATACTTCAACCATTGATTTGGCCAAAGAATAGCTTTTTTCTGAATTTTCTACATTTGCTTTGGCCTTGCAGCTCACAATAAGTGCCAGAATCATTGGGCATTTTCAGAGCTTAGTCCCCACCCCCCTGTCAGAAAACTCCCATCAGCATCCCATTCTCCTGCAGTGGAATTCCCTCTTCAACCAAAGAAGACCTCCCCCTACTGCAATAAATCAAATAAATCTGAAATGTGCCCTCTGCTAGACGTTCCACTGAGCGCATCGACCAGCCCGTCTATGAATGAAATATACCCCCCATTCCATTTGTTCATCTGCCACTTCACTCGTTCGACAACTTTCGCACGTCTGAGAGCCAGAAAAAACCCCCAAGATCCCAACCTTGAAGATGGCCCTCTCCCGGAGCAATCTGTCGGGGAGGTTCTTGCGCGACAGCTCCCGCGTCGTCTGCAGCTCCTCGTTCCAGTCCCGCGTCTGGCCCGGGATGTGCTCTTCGTAGCCCAGCTTGGACGAGAAGGCGTCCTCGGCCCGGATCGAGTCGATCGTGTGCTCGCCGTGGGGGGCCACCCAGGTGTACACCTAAAAGGAAAGAAACACATTTTCTAACTGCAATCTCTCTTGTCAATTTTTCTTTACATCTCCTAACTTAAGCACACTGAAATTTGCAAACTTGGGTCAAATAGGCTTAGTTTAAGTATAACAATCCACTGGAAAATCATTTCAAGGACATGAATGGGAGGCTATTCCTTTTCATTTCAGGATGAAAAAATATTTCATGGAAGTCTACATTGCACATGTGAGTATATAGCAAAAGTAGGTCTAGGTGTTCATGAGAGCTAAATAAGAAAAACACTTCTTTCAAATTCATGCTTGAAAAGAAGAGGAAGAAAAGGCAAAACCTATAAAAGAAAAATAAAAAATGAAAGTTAAAGAAATGATTAATAAAATTTGTTCAGACCTTGTTAAACCATCTGGAAACCTGAAGCAAATAAAACAAATAAGAATGCCATCTGATGCAGCTTCTGAGGCCAACCAACAAGGTTCAAGGAAGAGATGGTATGAACTGGCTATGGAAAAAAGTTGGGAAAGTTGGATTCCATGATTCTCAACATGGAATGGCTCTGCCATGTTTGCCACCAACTCTCACCGAGCAATTTCCTAGTATGTAAAGTGCCATTAATCAACCATTTCAGGCAAAAATCCCAAAATTCCCATTTAATCTTCCTCTGAGAATAGCCTCTTCACTTCTCTAATGCTGGGGCCATGATGAATGATGAGTGAAAAGCAAAAAAGAAGCTTCCATGAAAGGAGAGATCCAAGCCTCCATTTTCCTTAAGACAACATGAGGGCTGGCAAGCCATTCTGCTCATTGACCCACTTTCAACATTTATTTACTGCCTTAGAATCAAAATCCAACTGTATGCTATGGCCAACAGGGACAGAGCCAATGACGATTTCTCACCTCGAGGGGGAAGAACAGACAAAAATCCCACCAACCTGATACGGGGTGGCAACCCGCTCGAACGGGTGCCTCTGGGTCCGCTTCTTCTGCAGGATCTGGAAGTTCCTCTTGAAGCCTGGGCTGATCTGGCTCAAAAGCTCGATCAGGGAATGGCACAGGTGATGCGGTGAAGCCGGCTTCGGGTTGAACTCTTCCTCCGTCGACCTGCCACAGAAACGTCAAGTCTCACATGTGAATCGGGCACGGAACCCCGTGACGGTCGAACGAGCTCGGCACGAACTGGTTGACGTAGAATCCGCGCGTGGAGGCCGTGATGTGGAAGTGTTTGCCCTCCAGGGTCACAACATGGAGGTACAGGAGATCGCCGTGCATCTTTCGAGGCCCGGGAGGCGGGTTCCAGCCAGACGTGGTGAGCACCTGGAAGGGGCAAAGTACAGCCGTGCATGTGAGGAATGAATTACAAAGATTGAAAGCTGCAATACATTCTCATGCAAGCAGTACCGCACAAGGAGAATAAGTGTCAGTTGATGAATCCTCCACATAGTAGCGAAAATTGGAATACCGTGTATGAGACTACACCCTCTGTACACTGCAACTACGGATAGCCAGAGCAGATTTTCACCGAACTCCGGAATTCCAATCACAATGAAGGGGATTCTCTGATCACATTTCATTCAGTCATCTAACAATACTAAATCCAGTTCAATACTTCCGACAAATTGGCTCAGTCCCTCCAGGAGAGTCAGGGAACAGCCCGAGATCAAAAACCCACCTTGAGGCACGAAATCAAAAACCCACCTTCAGGCACGAGGGTCCCCTTGCGTCCTTGCCGAACGGCTGCAGGGGAAGAATGGGAGGCTCCTTCGTCCCAGGTAAGATGTAGTCGGGAGGAGTGTAGTCCACGGTGTCGGTGCGGTTTCGTTTCTTTTCTGAGGTGGAAAATATCAAATGCAGCCTATCTTCCAAACCCCAAGATTCTACAACTGCAAGCCAAAAGAGCTTACCCATAATATCACCCTGAGTAATGGCACTGAGGAAGGAGAGCGATGCACAGTCGACTCCGTTGTGGGCGTCGCTCGGATCCAGAGATTTGAGGAGGTCCCGGACCTGGCGGACGTGGATGCGTGCCTCTCGTACGGTATACGGCTCTTCCACGACCTGAGGAGACGGAGAATTGGTCTTCTCGGCGGGGAACATGTAAATAAGATTTCACAAGCTTTAGAGTCTTGACCTTGATGACTGAGCCTTCCTTGAGGCCCTCGATGTTCTTCAGCTCGGCAAAGTTGTCCAGCGTCTGTCCGTCGAGCTGCAGGGAGAAGCAGGTGCGGTGGCACGTGTCCTCCCGGTCCATCAGCAGCTGGTGGATTTCCTGAACCAGCTCGGCACTGCTCACCTTCGCGACAACGTGAATCTTTTGTTACTCCCATCGATAGTTCGACTGGAACAAGCGACTGGCATGACAGACATCAAATATCATAAATGCTAGCTGAGGCCTACTTCTGACTAATCTGAGGATCAAGGCATGAAGGTACAGCAGGAAATACTAAGGTTGACTCATGTCTACAAAGTTCAAAAGGCAAAAAAACTATACAGAACAGATACCTGTAACAGCCCAGTTTAAAATCCCAACTAGAACTAGGAATATTCCAGCTAGACCCAAATCTGTAAATTCAGACCATTTCCAGCTGCCAAAGAGCTAGAAAATAGTAGGTACCAGTTGTTTCTTTGCTGGAATTTTCCAACTAGAATGCAGCTGGTTTTAATGGCTGTTTCCAGCTGGAAATTTTTCAGTTGGAATTTTATGAAGAGTACAGCTGGAATGGAGCTAAAGTTATAGTTGAAAATCAGCTGTTCCTGTAGATGGACCTCTGACAAACATAGTCAACAGAAAGATTCTCATTCAGTTAGTGATACAGCAAATAGGAATAAATCTGGAGATTACTTTCCAGCTGTTACCCAGTTGGAATGGGTCCGAATTTATGGCTGGAGTCCAGCTGGAAATAATAGCTGTTTCCAGCCGGGATTTTAAGCTGGGAGTTCCGTTAATTCTTTGTCCTTTCAACATAAATTATTCCACAGGATGGAAAAGAGCAAAAGTCTAAGGCCTACACTTACCTGAATGTCGAATGAATCGATGCCAGGCGGCACGATCTTGACCGTGAACCCCGTGTCTTGCACGAGAACGACCTCTTGGCATTTGTCGTCCTTCTTGTCCTTCTTGGCGTCGTCGTCGTCGTCGTTCTGATTCTTGTCCGATTCGTCCGATTTCGCATCGGAGACGTCCGCCTCTTCCGAGCCCTTTTCCGCGATGCGAGACGGCAGGAAGTCGTCGGGGGGGTCCTCGTGGATCTGCCCGTTCACTAACGTCAGCGACTCCGCTCTCTTCTCGTCGTCCGACGACGACTTCCCGTCCTTGCGGTTCGGCACCTTCGCGTCCGTCTGATCGCGGCGGTCCCTCTTGGGATCCGCCGCATCTTCACCGTTCTCTAATTTTGTGTTATTATGGCACTTTTCGATGTGCTTGGCATTCCCCTCCAGGTCGCTACAAGGCACTTCGTGGAGACGATCCGCCATGGGTGTCGAGCCGCAACAACTCGGCCTGTGGGGGATGGCGTCGACGGGAAGTCCCTCCGGGCTTCGACTGCACGGTGAACGAATCGACATCTTCATCGGCTCTGTCTTAAATCAGGCCTAGGCCTTTGGTAGGTCTTAGGGCTACGGAATCAATCTAGATTCGGGTCCCGTTGCAACCCATGTACAAGGGTGTATCAAATAAGGTTCCCATTTTTTCCCCACAAAACTATCAGAGCTCACAAAATAATAAAGTGCTTGAATGATCTTGGCACCTATGTTGAAAAACAGTAGATGCACTCGTATTTGTTTGTTTACATGTCTTGATTGCTAAATCAGTTTGGAGCAAAAAATCTGGGAACCTTATTTTTTGATAGCCCCTTATAATTTCTCAAATTTTACTTTCTTCCTTCATTGGTGCCAATCACATAAGCCTAATTTTTTTTGCATCAAGTACTTTTTCACTCCCATTTCAAGCACTGCTTGACAGTTAAATTACATGCAATGAATAACACCAGCACTATTGCTACTCTTCCCCCACTTTTCATAAACCATGTTAACTAAGCTCCAGAAATTCAAAAAGTACTTTCCAACTCCCTTCTTCTGTAACTGTCCTAACTCTTTTTTATCTGTTCGTTAAGTTGATTCAAAACTTATTCCTAAATTAAGGAACAAATGGCACCACCTTCTGCCTAAAACTCACTCCTTTGAGAGCAAAGACTGGCAGGCTAGGGCGGATTGCACGAGGATGAAGCCTGTAACTAACAGTTAAAAGCCTGTAACTAACACTTAAAAACCTTTAACTAACACTTAGCATTCTTGATACGAGAATACTCGTAAATGCGAAAAGAATTCGACCGCTGATAACAGGCCTACTTCCTTAAAATGAGAATGGAACTTAGTCTGATGTTAAAAAATCCTGATATTCAGACTTGCAAATGAATTTGCACCAACTTTGACACTGGCTCCATAGGCCTAACGTCATTTCCACAACCGCGATACGCAACAGCGGGCGCAAACTCAGAAATCCCCGAGAGAAAAGTCCAAAAAACGGAGGATAGTAAAAACGACGCCCAACACGAACGCATCGTCCACCTCCTCCCTTCACCCCATCCCTCCCATGGTCCACCTCCTCCCTTCACCCCATCCCTCCCATGGTCCACCTCCTCCCTTCACCCCATCCCTCCCATGGTCCACCTCCTCCCTTCACCCCATCCCTCCCCTCGTCCACCTCCACCGCTCGCTCAGCGAAAACCTCCAGGCCCTGGCCCACCTCCTTCCGAGAGGAGGGCGGAGGCACTCGGGGAGGCATGCTCCCACGAAGCCCATCGCTGGCCATGTGTCGGGCCATGACAGTCGGGAGGGCACCTTCTACTCGACGGGGCCGCCATGTGACCGAAGGAAATCCTCAAGAAAAAAAAAAAACACGGCTATAAATTACATAAATTACTCCGTGGTGTTTGTTATTTAAATGCTGCGGTGAAATTTACGATGCGGATGAACGTGATAATCAAAATAAATATTTGATACCGTCCTTATCGAAATTAAAAATCTGCGATGCAAACTGACAGTACATATGTTTGATATGTTTGATATGTTTGATATGTTTGATATGTTTAATATGTTTGATATGTTTGATATGTTTGATATGTTTGATAAGCGTGTCGAGAAGGATGCCTGTTCGAAGAAAACCGAGAGGAAGCGGAATGCTTTGCGCGAAGTTGGGAAACGCGCGAGAGAGGAAAGGCGGTGGCAGCGGGGAAAATCGCCTTTTGGGGAGGCTTCCCTCCCGAGGGAGGCGCGGAGGCGGCGAAAGTGGGCCATCGGGGCCAGAAACATCCAGAAAAGGGGGAAGGGGGGAGGGAGGGAGGTGGGGGGGGGAAACCTTGGAATTAAAGCGAGGGAAGAGAACGTGGGGAGGGAAGGATGTGCCTCCACTTCGTGACCGAGACGCACTTCTCCCGTTCTTCTTCTCGCCGCTCCAGCCTCCTCCGTGCGTGAGTCACGCAAACGTGGAACATCGGCTATCGGCTATCGGCTATCGGTTATCGGCTATCGGCTATCGGCTGAGCTAGAAAGGTGAGAACTAGTGATAAATTTCCTGAGGTGCAAACGCTCCCTTCCTTGAAGCCGTGGCGGATACAGACCCTCGAATTCTCACCTCGGACGAAAAAAAAAAAATTCAAATTCCAAATTTGTAACCTTACCACATGCGATCGTCCTTCCACGTTCCTCCGTCGGCCACTCCTCATTCAAGCGCCACAAACGACACGATTTTCTCACCCCACCTCCAGAGTAACGAGTTAAGGAGGTCGGGGTGGGGGGGAAGTAGGAACTTTGGAACCCTCCGCCCCCCTCTTGACGAATCCGCTTCTCCCCCCAGCTGCCTCCAAGCGGAAAAATGCTCGCCCTGGCGGCGCTCCTCTCCTGCTGCCTGCTGACCTGCGACGCCCAGCGGACTCCATGGAGCCAACCACCCCGAGGACCCCCGTCGTCCCCCTGGGGCCAACCGCCCCAGGGGCCACAGTCGTCCCCCTGGGGCCAACCACCTCAGGGGCCACAGTCGTCCCCGTGGGGCCGACCATCGCAAGGGCCACAGTCGTCCCAGTGGAGTCAACCCGACCCCCAAGGAAACACCAAGTAAGTTGACCTTGATGACGTCACGGGGCCAGAGCCAGGGATGCCAGATCGCCGACTTAAGAGTCAATTAATGGAATTTCTAATCGCACGCCAGGAAGCACATTTTTAACACCAATTTTTTTTTCATTAGAAAAAATAAAAAATAAAAAGGTGATGCCGATCCATTGCTGCACATCCGTTGCACATCCGAAAAGGATCCGCCAAACGTGGCGGTTCTGGTACATTAGTATATAATATTTACTTGGGTCAGAAAGAAACCGGAGAAAGGTGGCAGATTTCCCGCGAGAAATGGCGTGAAAAGGGGATGAGATTGGGCAATTGCCCCCTGTTCCTCCGGCACGCGGGGACGAATTGCTAAAAGGGATGAATTGCTCCATTTTTTATATATATCAAATCGACCACTGTCGACGTTTGATAAACTGAAAAAGCGGAATTCATCCGTATTCGAAATGATGGAAAATACTTTTCGTCTCTCGCGTATTATTTATGTGAAACGAAAATAATGGACATAAATGATTCCAGGAAGGGAGAAGGAGGAGAAGCCCAGCCGCGACTGTTCTTCGGCCTGCTGAACAAGCCGGGCCTGGGCGGGATCGGGATGAAGCCGGGGCAGGGGGCGGGGATGTACCCGGGGTACGGGGCAGGGGGGTACCCGGGGTACCCGGGCGGGTACATGGGGTACGGGATGGGGGGGTACCCGGGCATGGGGGGGTACCTGGGAATGGGGGGGTACCCCGGGTACGGCTTCGGCGGGTATCAGGGTTACGCGATCGGGGCGTACGGCGGATATGGCGGTTACGGCGGATACGGCGGTTACGGCGGATACGGTTATCCTTACTATAAGGCTGGGTAGCATGGCCAACTGTGCGGCCGACTGTGGGGCCGTCGTCTTCGATTCGGTGCGGCGAATCGGACTGCTACCGTTACTTTCAATATTGATCAATGTCTAGAAAGTATCTTATGTACATAGCATATTCTTTCTTTTTATATAATAATATATATTTATTAATAAATTTTTTTTTTCCCGGTTGGTTGCTTCGAATTATTCACGCACCCGAGCGACAAACTGCAGCCTCGGTCTCCGGCACGTTCAAGGGCCGTTAAGGTCACTCCGACAATGAGAACGACGGGGGGGCTGACTTAAAGTTGCCTTAAGTCGCTTAACAATCGACACCCTTCAAGGATGCGCCCTCGGATCCCAAAAAAGGGCAATGGCTTCCCAACCGGAAACCTTGAAGGCGAAATGAGAACACTTTGAAGCCCGGGAGTTTCTTGCTCAATGTTTTTTTTTTTTAAATGAAAATACTCGTGATATTATTTATTATTATTATTATTTATTATTATTTTAAATTGACAATTTGTTGGGGGGGGGGGGGGGGGGGGAAATAATTCTGGTGACTTGTGCTGCACTTGAAAAAAAAATTAAATCCTCGAAAAGAAATTCTAAAAAAACAAACAAAATGAAAGCCATTAAGAAAGAAATTTCGTCCATGTGCTTCAAGACAAAAAAAAAAAACAAATGCCAGAATTGGCATTTGTAATTTATTTTAAATATAAATTAAAATATAAAATACAGCTGTGTGACAGTCAAAACTCTTAATGAATGCAATTAGAATTAGGAAACTCATGGTCGATCAAGGTCAAGGTCAAGTCTACCACAGCCACACCGTCGATGACGTTCCATTCAGCAGTTTTGAAAATTCTCTGAGTTACATGCAATTCTTGCAGTTTCCGAGAGTCATGCAATGTCACATGTCACACAATGACTTGCATGCAATGTCATGTGCAGATGGATCAAGAAAAACTTGTCTCTGGAGTCTGCAGTCCTTCATTTTAGTCCTCAGATTTCATGTGGAAGGGTAACAGCTATCTGAAGACATGCAGATCCACGAGGCCTGCGTTCTCTCGGGCAGTGCACATCGGGAGCAACCGTGATGCGATCGAGATCGAGTCTCGACGATCGAACCGCGACCGATCGCCGAAGCAGAAGGAAACCGAGAGGTTCGTTCTGGAATATGAATGTATTGAATAAACAACAATAATAAATCCAGATCATAAACAGTCTGACTACCGAGTGCAGGCCTCACTCGAAGAGAATTCCGGTTTAGAGATGGGCCCGGGAACCGACCGCAAACCGACGCGCCTGTCGCAGAAATGATCACATCGGTGATGGCAAGGCCACATTGCTTCGAGACCAAAGAGAGAACTCTGTCGCACCGATTTTCATCGCATATCAAGAGTACGAGCATTCGCAGCATGCGTTCGTCGTGGCATCGGCAACGACCGTTCGACAGAAATGTAAGACTCGCAAAGTGAACCCTGAAGCAACTAAGCGCAATTGCATCTCTGGCGAAGAACTTTAGCTGTAATGCTTGGAGGTCTCTGATTGGCTTAGATACAAAAATATGTTTGAACAGTTCAGGCTAGAGTTCCACGCCACAGCACCAATCACGCACGTCGAAACGACGGCTCCGTAAAGTATCCCGAATTACCGCCAACGGTGAAACATATTTAACTAAGGCTCTCTGAATTATTAGCGAAGAATACTGTAAATTGGTTCCCCGATGGGAACAACGAGATATCACTTCGGTAAAACTCCGACAACGTGGGGCCGTTCGGCCGTATACGAGCCCGAGGAACTAACAGATAAAGCATGAGTTTGTTTTCTAGTTTCAAAAGTAAAGCATTTCCCATCACTGTCAAGTTGCAAAGTTCTGCAAGATGTGAACTACAATCACTGAACAGCCCCATAGTGTCTTTCACCAGTCCCCGAGACGAATCCTCAACGCTGGGGGAAGGTGTGTCGTGGGTCCAACGAGGGCGGGAGGGGGAACACCCGGAACGGGTACCAGTTGTGACCTCGGTAGACGGCCAGAAGCCGAGCCAACTTCTCCAGCCTCTTCTCGAGGGCGCCTTCCTTCCTCAATCGAAGCACCAGGTGCGTCGTCTGCTTCAGCACGCCCTCCGGGACCATCAGCCCCCTCTCCTTTGTGACGTGTTCGATGGCGTCCAGTAGTCCATCCACGCATTCGCTCTGGAGCAGGACGTCCAGGACGAGAGACATCTCGTGTTCAGAGCGTATGAACTGACACCCCTTGACGTTCTCCATGACCTTGAAGAGCTGCATGGGCTCCAGCCGGCATTCCTGGTCTTTCAGCCGCTCGAGAAGGCAAGCGAGCACCGGGTGCCCGTGCGGCCGCACTTTGGGAAGCACGCCGAGGACGGACATGGCCGCATCGACGACTTGCTCCACGGATAAGAAGGCCTTCACCATGTTGCACGTGATGCTCACATCGGCCCTATCCAGGTGCATCTTCCGCAACACCATCTCGAAATGTGCCTGAGCATCCTTGTACTTCCCTACAAGGAATTCTTGGAAGTCTACCATCAGTGAAGGTGTCACCTACACATGGAATTAAGAAAAGGATTATTATAGCCAAATTTCCCAGATAGTCCATTTTGTGTATCTGCTTTATTGCATACCGGGTAAAAGAATAAAATAAAAAATTTGATGTAGGAAACATCTCAAAACAGAGATGAAGAAATCAACACCTTCAAAATCTCTTGGAAGTTCAGCATTTACTATCAATTGATTAGCACTTTCTTTCAATAAATATAAATCACTGTCAAGCTGAAATAATGATATTGCATCAAGTTTCAGACACTGTCAAAAAAACTGCACATCAGACAACACACCACAGGAGGAATAGGCCTACATATTGTGGGGCCACATGGCAAGGGAGAGGCAATGGGTTAAATTCGCCTTACCAGCCTATCGTGTCGAAATTTGCATTTGGCACCATAAGAACAGTCTCCAGAGAAGGCCTGTTTCCAACACTGGTCAGCATAGCACCTCTTCAATGCCTTGACAGTCCATGGGCCTGGAAAGGGATGTAAACAATATGCATTTCATGTTTGAAACAATGTGAGAAATAAATTTCTGCAGCAGCTTTTTTCAATATACAATACTTATTCCCATTCCTAAGGAAAGAAAGAAATGAGGCTTGTTCTTCTTTGATCAGATATCTGTGTTTCTGCTTGCCAGCAGGAAGGTTTTCATTATTTATGGAATATGAGTGCATGCATTAAACTTCATGAAATATAAATAACTTTTTTGCATTCATGCATGGGACAGAATTTCACAGCTCCTAATGGTATTGAGATCAAGAGAGAAACAGCAAATGCCACTGCAAATTTACACATATGAAGGGGACTTTCCAATTTTGGGTCTAAGGACGGCAAAGGCCTACTTAAGCATCGACTTGAGAAACCGCTTTCTGAGAGGAAACATGCCAACTGAGTTTCCTGCAACACATATTTTAATGAAGGGTTCCCAAATCCACAATTTCCACAGCAAGGACTCCAACAAAGTCTTCCACTCCGACTGTCAAAGGTACACTCCTGGGATAAAGGCTCATGCCCAGAGGGTGAGAACTCCCATGTTAAGTGATTCAGAGAAAAGCTAGAAGTACCTTCCTTCAAAAATTCTTTACCTAGTGAGCCATGAGCAAAAAAAAAAATTATAGAAATAACTGCCAAAATACCAAAACAAGGTACCCTGTCTTTTCCATTCAAATGGGACCCTTGCAAGCATGTTTCTAATGAAAATTCTTAAATCAGAACACAAAGAGAAGATTTAGACCACATCATGAAATCTACGGTAGTAAGTACAGATTACAGATACACGATCCCGAAAGTTAGAACCGGCTCTGCACGCATTCAGACGATAAATCGGACCTTTCAAGAAATGCTTTTATATTGCAAGGGCCTACCCCTGTAAAGCATTGACGCCTCCTCCGAGCCCTGCTTCTTGGGAGGCTCCTTCGCGACTTCCAAGGGCGAGGATGCTCGGGTGCTCGTGGAAGACACGCTGGACCAGGCGCTGGGTTCACACGTGGAATATGTCGACAGGGACTGCACCTCTTCGTGTGGGTCTGAACTATATGGAACAGAAATTAATATCAGATGTAGTACTCAGGAAGGCATGTTCAAAAAATTAAACCATTAAAGACCAATGGCCCCATTGCTGGAGGATCAGTTTGATTTAAAAAAATGAAGTCACTGATAAGGATGAAATTTTTTAGAGGCATAGATATCAAGTTCAATTACAAGCAAATTCAAGGGAAGTATCCATAATATTTTTTCCTATGCCAAGGAAAAAATAGCCAAGAACTTTTATAACAAGGGCAAGGAATTGAACCACATTCATCAAATCTGGATTGCTGGAGGCTTCAAAAAATTCTGTCTTTTCTTGCACGAGGTGCAGCTTCTGCTCTTTATAAGAATGCATCTTCCCAACCTCATCATAAACTGTGATGACGATGGCAAAAACAAGTAAATGGCCTTGTATGGCCGGGATTGCAAACTGAACATGCACTGGAAAATGGCAAAGAAATGTTTACATGAACACTGGAAGAATCTCATAAGTAGAGAAGCATATTACAGGAAAAGGGTAATTTTATAGTCAATGTAATGAACCAACAATACAGGAATATCGAGACTTTCATGGATCCCACCTGACTTCCATGTGTTGAGAATCACCAACAGATGGGGCAGTTGAACAGGTCAGATGACTAGGAGATTCTGGGCCCTCGTCGCACTGAGTCGAGATCGTCGGAGGAGATTCACGCCAGAACTCGAGATCTTCTTCCTCGTCCAGCACGATTTCGTCGTCGCCAACTTCACAGTCGGCGGTCTGAGGGAATTGCTGTGCCGCTTTACCAGTCTGGGGTGGAAGACTTTGGTCTTTGGAACTTAAGGAGATTGACTGAGAGCAACTGGTCTCACTGCAGCTATCACACAAGTCGCTCGAGCTACTGTCGGTGACCGAATCGGTCCCGTCGGTCGAGGGCTCGGGTTCCGACTTCGATCGGAGAGGGGTGCCCTCAGGGTCTGACAATATGAACAATCGTCCACTGTCACTGTCCGTTTCGTCTGTCTCCTCTTTGCTTGCATCCACCTTGTACGATGTTGCCTCACTGCCATGTCCATATGTATGAAGTGGACCACACTGCAGCAGTTCTTTTCTATCACATTTTCCATCGATTTCAACCCTTTTCTGACCAAGGAACCCATTTCTCCCTTGGGAAGAAGGAACAGGTTCTGAAAGCTCAGTCAGTAGGGGCGATGATTTCGAATTCTCACCCTGCTCCTCACGATTCTTGAGATCGCACTTTGATCTCTCTCTCTTTGGATGCTGAGTCTTGTTGGAGAGGCTCTTAGGGTCTTCCTTCTCTTGTGCAGGTTTAACCCATGGGAGAGAGGACACCTTTTTGAGAGGGATTTTGAAGGCCTGAGTCACTAAGGGCACCTTGGAAACTGCAGCAGCGGTAGCCACAGGAATGCTCGGAGGAAACACTCTCCCGATGGGATTCGGAGAGAGTGTTTCACCCTCTTCACACTGGGGCTTCCCCACAATATCACAGTTCTGCTCTTGAACATGAGGTCTTCTGAGGGAGACACGCTTCCTCTTAACTCCTTCTTCTGAGGAAATGGAAGAGGAGGAGCAGCATCGCTTTCTCTCTCCCGATTTTTTATTGGACCCGTTGGAATTATGAGACCGAAGTCCATACCCGTGTTGAATGGCATCCTCTCTCTTGATGCCTGCTTTTTGCAACCCATTCAATGGTGTCAGTTTGTGGGCAGGATGATGCTTCTTGAGATGAGGGACTGACTTTTGATTTTCCTTCTGAGTCTGGGAACCTGAGATCAGAACAGCATCACTTTCCTCTGAGACTTGTTTAACACTATTGCACTGGTTAGTGACATCACCTCCAGATGACTTAATTTCAAGTACTCCTTGGCATCGGGCACCTGGAAGCGAGACATGGCCCTGAGCATCCGACAATGCCTCGTCGTCGTCCTCGTCGCACTCACTCTGACCGGTCCAGAACTTTTTCAGCTTCTTTTGGTACCGAGAAAGCGTCGACCTTTAACTCTTGCATCTCTCAAGAGGGAGGCGACCCTGCATAACGTAGCAAAGCGAGGAAGACAGGCCGGTAAGGTGCAAGTCCTGCTGGAAGTAGTGGGCTTCGAGTGGTTTGGCATTTTTCAAGTACAAGGGGCTGGGGTTTTTGGGCCTGTTTTTATGCACTATAGTCACTTGCACTTTATCCTCCTCCCCCTCCTCCTCCTTTCTTTTTGCTGCCTTTCCAATGTTCATTGGCAATGTTGCAAAATTATTGGTAAGGCACAGACACCTGAAAAAAATATATGATTAAGCTCAATATTCAGCCGAAAGTTGGCAAAAAATGCTAAACATTTCTAAATATTTCATGGAAGATGGTGACCCTTGACGTACTTATCTTTCCATCTACATTGCATATCTCCCCATTCTAACAATGCAATAAGAGATTAGCATGTTAGCTCTTGTTGGGCTGATGACAGGATGATCTCACATTTACCACACTAGCTTTTTTTCCCTGCTGCCCTCTATTTACTAATAGACTTTAATCAAATCATACTTTCATGAAAGAACTCCTGCATCATAAGCAATAAAAGTATTCCTCAATAAGGAAGCTTGAAATTCTTGCAACTTATCATCTAAAGACAGAGAAGAAAAGAAACTAAGCACAAGGCACATTGATCTGTGAGCATTGTACAATGACACTTGTGAACCTGCACACTGTTTCAGTGACACCATTACAACCCCACCAAGGCACCAATCCCATTCTAAGGACTCATATATAGATTAACACATTCCAGGAGTTCTGAAAGCTGCTGGATGTTGCCAGACAAGAGGCTAAATTCTCATGCAAATCCATGTCAATAGTCATAAAACAGTCAGGCAGTCTGTCCTAGTTGATCAAAGCATCTGGTGTGCACAAAGCATAGAAGACCCAACCAAGGCAGAAACTGTTTGTTTGTGCCAGCTGGAGCTCATTGCTTCAAGACCCATGGTAAGCAAAACTAAACAAATGGCCATTACTAGCCTATGCAGGTTGAATCAATGCATTACTCAAAAACTTTCGGGCTAGCCAAACACAAGAACCACTTTGCCCAATGTAAAAGTCAGCTCACTTCACTATAGCCAACCGAGGAAATTGAAATTTGCACCGCTGGAGAGCATATCGTATTCTGTTTCCATTGGTGCACGACAAGACACAAAAGCCAGCAATGCAAATCATGGGTGAAGTAAAAAAAATCTCGTGAATGTGGTCTAACAGCTTTGACCATGAAATGGGTTACAGGAAATGTTTAGAAAAAGACAACCTGAATGAAGGATCCAGTATTGGCTCTTCAATAGTTGGCTGATTTTACCATATTCTCAAGTTCNACAATCGTCCACTGTCACTGTCCGTTTCGTCTGTCTCCTCTTTGCTTGCATCCACCTTGTACGATGTTGCCTCACTGCCATGTCCATATGTATGAAGTGGACCACACTGCAGCAGTTCTTTTCTATCACATTTTCCATCGATTTCAACCCTTTTCTGACCAAGGAACCCATTTCTCCCTTGGGAAGAAGGAACAGGTTCTGAAAGCTCAGTCAGTAGGGGCGATGATTTCGAATTCTCACCCTGCTCCTCACGACTCTTGAGATCGCACTTTGATCTCTCCCTCTTTGGATGCTGAGTCTTGTTGGAGAGGCTCTTAGGGTCTTCCTTCTCTCGTGCAGGTTTAACCCATGGGAGAGAGGACACCTTTTTGAGAGGGATTTTGAAGGCCTGAGTCACTAAGGGCACCTTGGAAACTGCAGCAGCGGTAGCCACAGGAATGCTCGGAGGAGACACTCTCCCGATGGGATTCGGAGAGAGTGTTTCACCCTCTTCACACTGGGGCTTCCCCACAATATCACAGTTCTGCTCTTGAACACGAGGTCTTCTGAGGGAGACACGCTTCCTCTTAACTCCTTCTTCTGAGGAAATGGAAGAGGAGGAGCAGCATCGCTTTCTCTCTCCCGATTTTTTATTGGACCCGTTGGAATTATGAGACCGAAGCCCATACCCGTGTTGAATGGCATCCTCTCTCTTGATGCCTGCTTTTTGCAACCCATTCAATGGTGTCAGTTTGTGGGCAGGATGATGCTTCTTGAGATGAGGGACTGACTTTTGATTTTCCTTCTGAGTCTGGGAACATGAGATCAGAACAGCATCACTTTCCTCTGAGACTTGTTCAACACTATTGCACTGGTTTGTGACATCACCTCCAGATGACTTCATTTCAAGGACTCCTTGACATCGGGCACCTGGAAGTGAGACGTGGCCCTGAGCATCCGACGATGCCTCGTCGTCGTCCTCGTCGCACTCACTCTGACCGGTCCAGAACTTTTTCAGCTTCTTTTCCATGGCTCTTTCGCAGCTGGAAATTGAGAACGTAGAGAGTTCTCCCTCCGCTGGGACGTATTGCATCGTTTCGCTCCTTCTGTCCGGCCATTCCACGTTCAGGACGACCTTCATCACCCGAAGCTCCGGTTTGGCATTTTTCAAGTACAAGGGGCTGGGGTTTTTGGGCCTGTTTTTATGTACTATAGTCACTTGCACTCTATCCTCCTCCCCCTCCTCCTCCTTTCTTTTTGCTGCCTTTCCAGTGTTCATTGGCAATGTTGCAAAATTATTGGTAAGGCACAGACACCTGAAAAAAATATAAGATTAAGCTCAATATTCAGCCGAAAGTTGGCAAAAAATACTAAACATTTCTTAATATTTCATGGAAGATGGTGACCCTTGATGTACTTATCTTTCCGTCTACATTGCATATCTCCCCATTCTAACAATGCAATAAGAGATTAGCATGTTAGCTCTTGTTGGGCTGATGACAGGATGATCTCACATTTACCATGCTAGCTTTTTTTCCTGCTGTCCTCTATTTACTAATAGACTTTAATCAAATCATACTTTCATGAAAGAACTCCTGCATCATAAGCAATAAAAGTATTCCTCAATAAGGAAGCTTGAAATTCTTGCAAGTTATAATCTCAAGACAGAGAAGAAAAGAAACTAAGCCAATGCACATTGATCTGTGAGCATTGTACAATGACACTTGTGAACCTGCACACAGTTTCAGTGACACCATTACAACCCCACCAAGGCATCCATCCCATTCTAAGGGCTCATATATAAATGCATTCCAGGAGTTCTGAAAGCAGCTGGATGTTGCCAGGCAAGAGGCTAAATTCTCATGCAAATCCATGTCAATAGTCATAAAACAGTCAGGCAATCAGTCCTAGTTGATCATAGCATCTGGGTGATGGATGGCATGGAAGAAAAAAAGCAACATGATTGGCAGATCATGATGTCAGCAGAAATGGGTGTGCACAAAGCATAGAAGACCCAACCAAGGCAGAAATTGTTTGGTTGTGCAAAGCTGCAGCTCATTGCTTCAAGACCCATGGTAAGCAAAACTAAACAAATGGCCATTACTAGTCTATGCAGGTTGAATCAATGCATTACTCAAAAACTTTAGGGCTAGCCAAACACAAGAACCACTTTGCCCAATGTAAAAGTCAGCTCACTTCACTATAGCCAACCAGGGAAATTGAAATTTGCACCACTGGAGAGCATATCGTTTTCTGTTTCCATTGGTGCATGACAAGACACAAAAGCCAGCAATGCAAATCATGGGTGAAGTAAAAAAAATTTGTGAATGTGGTCTAACAGCTTTGACCATGAAATGGGTTACAGGAAATGTTTAGAAAAAGACAACCTGAATGAAGGATCCAGTATTGGCTCTTCAATAGTTGGCTGATTTTACCATATTCTCAAGTTCAACTTCCAAGGATGAAAACCCAGGCTTCAATCATTTTTCATACTAGCAAGGAAGATTTATACAAAAATATGGCAACGCTTTCATGACCATAAGACATGAAGCTCTCCTTCGAAGCTAATTACCAACGACTGCATAAAAAAAAAACAATGGGAGATATATGAGACAAGCAGATCAGATTTCAAGTGAGGGCCTAGGGTCATAAACAGTGCCCTAACGTTAACATCTCGACCTAGCCTAGCCTAGAGTCGACCGCGGCGAATCCGATCCCAGCGTGTCCTCGCCCGTCCTCTCCCCCGACACCACCGTCGCGAGACCGCGAAACTCGTCCAGGGAAGCATGGCTCACCCACGTGGACTGCGCTCGCAAGCAAGAGCATTCATCCGCGGACTGTCTCCATTGGTCGGGCAGTGCTGTTCGATTGTTCGATCAGTGCTGCCCGATTCCTCGAGCAGTGCTGCCCGATTCCTCGAGCGCTGCTGCACGGTTTGTCCTGCAGCGTTGCTTCCTCGCACCTGCGTCGTGTTGGGACGAGGTCCGCGGAGGTCGAGCGCGGACGCACCTAGGGGTACGAGTGGCCGCTAGATGTCACTGTGATCGCTCGTTGCTCTTCACAATATGACTTCATCTCGTATCTGAAGCAATCAATATTCATACTGTGACCGTAGGGTAATGAGTAAAACTAGAGGCTCCACTCCGCTCGAATCCCATTAATCGACAGGGTCACAACATGGACGTCGCAGTCGATCCTCCATCTAGCGGGCGCAGATCAACGACTCCTCCGTGGCCGAGCAGCGGACTCCACGAGACATCCCTCGGGGTCGAATCCCCGAACGAGTCCATTCCCGATTCCGCTGCCACGAAGCATGAAGTCCTTCTCGTGCCCATGAGGACATGATGAGCAGAGGAGAAGAGTCCCCATAACGGGCCACTCGCCCCTTCACGCCCTCGTCCTGCCCCACGCAGCAGTCCGTCTCGAACCTCCGACCGGGCAACACGCGGCGTCTCGAGCCACGCATCCTGACCCCCACAGCCGGTCGGCACAACGAACTGCCGCGAACTCATCACGAGCCGACGACCTGGACCACGGTCGTCGAACAGGAACGAACGGATTGAACCGTCCAAAGTGCGTGCGAGTCCCCCCCACGAACGCGAGACCGTATCTTCCCTGTATCTCTCCTTCCGTTCTTTCCCCCATCGAGTATCCAAATAAATTCTACACAACCGTTAACATTGATCTAATTACGTACCTTCCTTCCCACTTGGAGTCTACGGAGTCCAGAGACTTCGCTTCTCCCCCGCTAAATTACCATCCATAAAAACACGCCACCTCCTCGATCACCATCCGACCGCGTCTGCTCCCCCACATGAAGCGAGACCTTCGTCCCCCATCTCTTGTGACCCCCTGGGGTTCGCAACAGAAGCAGTGTTCTCGACAGCATGCCACCAGATGTCTCTGGAATATTTCGGCCCCCCCCCCTGCCCCCCCCCCCTTGAGTGCCCCCTCTCTCCATGCTGCGACCTAGGGGTCTCGCCTGACCTCAGATCCTCATTCAACGTAATTAAAAGAGAGGCTTTAAATTTCTAGCAGGAATGTTCTCTCTAACCAGAAGGAAAATTCCAGCGGGAAATGCTAATTGGAGAGCAAGCTGGAATTTGGAATTGCTGGAATTTCTCATCCTGCATCAGTATGCCTCGAATGTTTTGCCATGCAAAACTAATAAACTACCCACTTGACAGCAGGTTTTTTTTGTAACCGTTTCGATGACTCCGAGGATTTAACAAAACCGCCGAAGGCAATAGTGCTCAAGAAAATAACCATTCATGCAATGGGTTTGTAAGTGTCCTGTCTACAAAATCGAATGAATCCCACAAGGCACAGTATTTCCCAAAATTGGAGATACGTCCAGGGCATTTCCACTGCCCCTATCTCCCCTTCGTGATGCACATGAAGTTTCCGTCCATTTCGGAATCGGTGGCCAGGAGGTCTTGTATTGACAGCTGGACAGACCCATGCAAAAAAAAAAAGTATCGAGCCAAATATTCCAAAGACGGCGGCAATAATTTCATCTCGACGACACCAACAATCTGAGTTGTCTCCTTCGTTCTCCCCAAGCGAGTGTTTTACGAATTCAATCCAGAAACAGTATTTATTACATTATGTTCGAAAGCGGGAGAATGCTGTGACAGGAACATTTGTTCCCTCGAAACAATTTTTTCTTTTTTTTTCCCAAAAAACGTGAATTTCTCGGAGGTTAGTATATTCAAGAGAGGTGAAATTTTTTTTTTTTTTCGAAAAAAGCGCGAGTGTGCGTCATTCGCAATGATGAAACTAGTCTGCCACCACTTCCGACGAAATCGAAGACGCCCAAACCCACACTTCCGTCCAGTTTCCACTCGGAAGTGCTGCGCCGCGTAGTCGATCTGCAAGGTGCTTCGGTTTCATTACGGGGGTAGGCTGTCATTCCTGGGCCAGTCCTGCGGTGCATTCGTAGGTCGTCTCGTCGGGTTTATCAGATATAAAAGAACTTCTGGCAAGGCCCTTGCAAATGCCACTTTTTCCTGACAGGCCAGGAAAAATAAAACGGAAAATTTTCCGGATTTTCAAGAAGTTGATTTCAGCCGCAAAAAAAAATCAGTTTTTTAAAATAAAACCAATGGAACAAATAAAACCAATGGAGCCAACTGTTGTCATCGTGCCTGCTCATTGGCCCAAGCTTGAACCTTGTATGAGTGATTTTGTTTTCTCCGCAGGCAATGATAATATAGGCCTAACTTGCTTTACACTAACCCATTCTAAATGTTTGCTGTTGCAATTTTTTTTTTGCTTAGGTGATTCGCTTCACTGCAGGGATATTCCAAAAAACCCAGTGCCTCACAGCTTGAAATTTGTGTCGTGGCGACCTGTCCTATGGAGTTCTCAGGCTCTGAGAGTCAAGTATTTGCCTCTGTTGATGATGACTGATAGAAATCCAGATGATTTTGAAATTCATTTATAGAACCGATGCCACTCTGCATCAGCGCTTTCCTCAAATTCCAGCAATTTCCAGCAAGAGCAATCCGGCTTCCATCAAGGAATGCAGCAAATTGCAGCAGGAGCTCTCCCGCTTCCGGCAATTTTCCAGCGAGAAATTTCCTTCATCCAGCTGGAAACCCAGCTGTTTTTTCCTCCCTCTTCACTTCGTACAAACGAGACTGGAGACAAAGTCACCATCGCATATTCGGCCGGTACTTTCGAGGTACTTTCCGGTACTTCCAAGCGCTGGGAAATGAAGGTCGGCGCCTTAGGATCCAGTGCCTCCCCGCTGTGTCCGAAGCCCCGCTGTGTCCGAAACCCCGCTGTGTCCGAAGCCCCGCTGTGTCTTAAATTCTTTCGGTCCACTTCCGAATGAATCAACTCGGACGAATCGCGTAATCCGGAAGCGGACCTCGAATCGGGTGGACCCAACCGCGTCTCGACCCATTGCGGATTCCTATTCGATTTCCATTTTCGGATTTGGTTTAAAACGTTCTTATTCAACGCAAGCATCGAATGCTCCAGAATCGAACGGTCCATTCGATGCCAACTCGATGCTGAGTCAAATGCTAGTATGAAAATATCACCGGAAGAAACGTTTGGAAGCCTCCGGGGAAAGCGCTCGTAAATGGAATTCGATCACCAGGGATGCTGCTCGATTTTTGCACAAATTTCAAATGGAAAACATTTTTTTTTTTTCAAGATCGGCATCAAATGCCGTGATGAGAATGTGCCCGCGTCCATTTGCTCATCGCGTCGAATTCAGGTTCGAATTGCGAAAGGTGCGGAATTGTAGTTATGGGAAGAACCGTCCAGGAAGGACGGCGCTCATTGATCATCTTTTTTTTTCCGTAGGAAACTCCGAACAAAAAATGAAAAATGAATTTCAAGCGGCCACCATGGTTGCCATTGACGTCAATCCCTCCTGCCCCCCCCTACCCCCCCCCCTCCTCCCCATCTCATTCATCCCATTCCCCATCCCATTCACGACCGAGAACCCAGCCGTTCCGAGTTTGATGGGAGTCTCGCGGATCGCGGGAGGAGAGACACGGGGCCTTTTTAGCGTTGCTGCTTTTACTGCGAGGCGTCACATCGGTCGATTTCATCCCTTATTTGGCTGCGCATCCGGGGCAGAGATACGGAAACGTGACGTCCGAATTTGAGACCGCAACTCTTGGAACGTGCGGCATAAAATGCGTGATGCAAAAACCGATTCCCTGCTACGCCTTCAACTACGGGGAGACCGACCGCTCGTGTCAGTTGATCCTCGACGCGAACGGCACCCTCGTGGAAGCCGATGGATACCGGTCCTTCGTCCAGAGTGAGTCGTTGCCGTTTTGCATCTTCCGATTTCGAGATGTGACCCAGACCACCCTATTCCCATACTTAGGGTTGTGTCTCAAAAAGCATCCCAAGATCCCGAACGCCAATGTGTCCTTCGAGGGATGGAACGGCTCATACCCAGCCCCAGCAGGCGGCATCGTCACCTTCCGCTGCCGCCATCCGAATGGGTTCACGGACGGCGCTCATCTCCACACCGCGACATGTGCCCCCTTGGATCCGGATTCCTGGTGTATCTCCTTCCAAGAGGGTGCTGTGGAATGTGAGGACATCCCATCTATACCTATATTACTAACAAGCTTAAATGTCTGTGTGAGGACGCTTCTCCTTCGAGACAGTATGACCCCTTAAAATAAAAGTCGCATTTCTCGTTTCCCTGGAGTGGCGCATCAGGAATAAGGAGTCTGTTGACCCTGCGACTAATGGGTCACAGGGGCGCCTTGGGTGACCTCGGTAACGTTCCAGATTAAAAATATAAAATTCAAATACTTTTATTTTGTCCTGTCTAACCGGGCAGAAAAAGGGAGGTGAGGCTTGCCACACGCATAACTGACGTGATTTTGAGTTCAGGAAAAATGCGCCTTTTATGATGCATCCCCTCAGGGCACACCTTTTTTGGTTGGTCGGGTTTTCAATAAATGTTTTTCTAACGGCAAAAGAGCAAAGGTATCAGCCTAAATTTGATGGCCTTATAAAAATATAAGATGCATAGCTGAACAAACAATTACACATATCATTACCAACGCAATTTTTTCACACACGCACCTCTGTTGTCTTTCTGTGGCAGTTTTGTCGCTTCTTGGCAACCTCACTCAACATTTCGGGCTTGGCAGGCGAGAAGGTACATGCGTATATCATTTTCATATTCATATCATTTATATTAAATTTAAAAGCAATTGACGCCTTTTCTCATTTAGCTAAAAAAAAGAATTTTCAAAAAACCCACTGATTTTGTTTCACTTTGATACATTTTATGCGTGACAGGCGAGAAGGTACAGGTGTATCCAGAATATCGGCTGACAGAGAAGGGCAGGGAATACATAGGAAGGGTGAATGTGACGGAATCGGGACAGAACTGTCTCGACTGGAGAGACTATCCCTACGGCATACCAGACGACTTCAACGTCACGGTTGAAGTTAAGGAATTTCTGGAATCCAAATCGCCATTCGATCCTGACAGAACACCGGCGACGAACGCAGCATTCGAGGTCCACTTTCTCAATCTGGACTCCTGGTCTCACCAGAACTTCTGTCGGAATCCGTCCGGGAGGGACAGACCCTGGTGCTTCGTTTCCGACCCTGCAAAGCAATGGGAATACTGCGACATTCCAATGTGCACGCAGACAGGTGAAACATTTTTCTCAATTTCCCAAAGTAATAGGAAAGTGGACCCCGCTGATGTTTGTGTCCTTCACTTGATTGAATGGCTTGCAACAGTGATCACATTGAACACCATGGTTTCCAATGGACTTGCCGATGAAGTCAGTAGGTTTGCTTAAATTTATCGATTAGACTTAATGAGATTCCCATTGGAATCTCCCGATGGATGATGGGCAAGTTGAATTTTATATTGTCATGGTTACATGCTATATTTAATAAGTATGTTCGAAATCCTTTTGATTCATTTCTAAGCTCCACTTGCAATTTGCTGGAGCAATAATGGCATATGGGCTGAGGTATTTTCCAGTAAATGCCAGAACCGCCAATGAGAGATTTGCTTTGAGATATCACATGGATTAGAAAGAATCAGCCAGGAGTTAAGTTGAGGCAATTGAGTCGTCACTTGGCTCCAATTTTAGGCATGGATATAATGAATCGCATGCGCTTGTATGTGTTCTATGATGGAATTTTTAAAACGATTTTCTTCATCAAATAAGAGAGACTATCGAAGAATAAATTAAAACTGAAAAGTCAAAGGTGATCTCGAAAATCAAGCTCGACGCAGGGAAAAAAAAATTCCTAAACAGTTCTCACACACGGATTGAAGGCCACGATCCAGCATATTGCACCACGACGAATAAAACCCGACCGCCACGCAGCTATGACGGACAGTGCACTTACCTATTAGCCCACGAACTGCCAAGCAAAACGAACGCATCCGTACGTACGTTTGGTTGGTTTCCTGGAGGAGGCCATTTAGCACTTAATCACTGCAATCAATATCGGGGGAAAAAATTACCCAAGCGGTAATGATAAAGACCTCTTCTTCTCCTACCACCAATTCCCAAACTATGTAAAACAATATCATGAAAAAATATTCTCCCTTCTGAATGTAAATTCCAAAATTCAGTCAAAACACCATTTCATCACATCATCACTTGAAATCTCTGAATGACAACAGATATTCCAATTCATTGAAGAGCATTCTCTCTAAATCATTTTGTCTCCATCAACATTTGTCATTTGGAGCTATTACCTTCTTGTTAAAATTTTTAATTAATTCAGAGCGTTTTCCACGTGTTAACAGCAATTGAAATATGTTTCACTTCTTTCTTTCAATTAGTTCCTCCTGAGTGCAAGTTGACTCAACAAGGTGGCGAATACGTGGGAACAAGGAACGTGACGATCACAGGCGATCCGTGTGTGTCATGGGGAGTTGCATTTGATGAGATCGATGTATTTCTCCCTGCGATTCCGGACGACGACCGCGTCGACCTGGAACACAACTTCTGGCGAAATCCGCTGGCCGCTGTTTCTCCGTTTTGTTACTACCAGGAAAAATCCGGTTATTTCTTGAAGGGATACTGCGACATCCCGTTTTGCAATCATCAAGCCGAAGTCGTTGGCGCGGGGGGCGAAGGCGTGTATCCAGAATGTCGACTGTCGGAAAAGGGGAAGGAATACGTGGGGAGCAAGAACGAGACCGAAACGGGAAAGGCATGCTTGCCGTGGTATTTTCAACTCTATGACAGACGTTGGGATTTTATTTCCTTTACCTACAAGGCATTTTTCGTAGATGGGTTCTTCAACGAGTACAGTTACAACGAGTTAAACATACCCAGTCACAATCACTGCAGAAACCCGGGATTATACCGAAGGCGACCGTGGTGCTTCGTCTCCGACGTGGACACGAAGTGGGAGTATTGCGACATCCCCTTCTGCCACGACCTCGGTCAGTCCATCCAGGAGCCTCCCCGAAAGAACACCTCGCGTTCCGACTCACATTCTTCCTTCTTTCTCCCAGGTCCACCGGAATGTAAAGTGAGTAGAAAAGGAGGAGAATACGTGGGGAAGAGGAACGTGACAATATCGGGGTTCCCCTGTCTACCTTGGTTTTTGACCATGGAGGAAAGAACACCCCATTCATTTTCAGACGAACTGGATGGAAGACACACGTTTTGCCGCAATCCTTTCGATTTTCCCAACGGCCCTGCATGTATCATCAACCAGATGGATTGGGAGTATTGCGACGTTCCATTTTGTCAGTCCGACGATGAAGAACGGTGCGACGTTCGAGTCGATGGGCAGTGCGTCAGTGAGTAAAAAAAAGTATTTGCCATCGCCAATTCTCTTTCTTCAACTTATGCTCTTGCAACGCTCAACCTTCTTGTTTTCCGCAATGATAGTATTTTGGGGATCGAAATTACCAATGCTTCTCTCTATATTAAAACAGAATCGAATCACCATATTGAAAGCTCCAACTTTCCAGTGTTGCGGATAATATATACCATTGCATTTTGATTTGATTTATATTTTAATTTATGAGGGTTTTCCCCACTCCTCCTCATACCAGGAAATCCACCTCCTGGAGTGTTTCTGGAGAAAGTAACGAAGCCAAAACCAAAACCATTGAATTGCAGTACAACAAAAGTTCTTTTCCCGCTATTTTGGATGCAAGATTTCGTTACGAACATGATATTGTGACCTATAGTGACTATTGTCCCATCCTTCAGGGTTGCCGGATGTCGAGCAGGAATTAGGTCGGATTTATGACTGCTTATATCCTCGAATTGGGGTCTGGATCTTCTGATTTTTAATGCATGATAAAATTTGGGCTGAGTTGGCTTAGTTAAGATTAACAGGATCGGTAGCAGTTGCCGATTATTGCAGAGCAGTATAGAGATATCGCGCACGAATATCATCGTTTTAACGGGATCGCGTCCAATACGTTCCTGAATTTCGCAGGGTTTGCTCCCAACTAACCTCATGGAGATATTTCCAGAAAGCCGCGATGTCGAAATGTACATGCTTGATTGGCCCGGTAAGTAATACCGATAGAGATTTATTTCTTTATTATATAGAAAGAATGGCAGTCTTTGACTTGACTCAAAGACAGCCCCTGGGTTAGCCCTTGGTTTAACGGTAGTAAGTCCGTAGTTAGGAGGCCAGGGCGTGAGGGTATAGGAAACCCTTTAAATAAAAGGATTACAAGCTACTTCAATAACTGTCATGGAAACACCTTGAGCAGTCTTGAAGATTCCAAATAGAAGAAAGGTAGTGGGCGGTCCAGGCGCTAGAATGGCATACTTCTATTGGAGGTGGTGACCTGGCAGGAGGTAGGATATGCAGCAGATAGCCCTCTACCTAAAGAATTGCGCAGGCCAGCAGATCTCCTTCCTTGAGGTAGCACACATTACCTGCCCCCCCCCCCTCCTCCTCCTCCGCATAGCATGTTAAACGCCTATTCAGCTGCTGTACCTAGAATCTCCACTACACGGTACCGATGTTCTCTGTATCCTTCTAATGTAATTAAGAACATGCGTTCCAGATTCAGCAACGGGGTTCCATCGCTTTTTCCTTTCCCTCCTTCCTTCTCTCTTTCCTTCTTTGCAGCATGATACGAAGCGATATATATCCAGTATTGGAGACAATTGATGTCTTCCAGGTCCACTGGAATGCAAGACGGACGTAATCGGCATGTCATACATGGGGACCAAAAATGTGACGCGCAAGGGGCACAAATGCCAGGCATGGATGAGCAACACCCCGAACAACAAAGTTCCAATCGTCGACTCCTACACCTACGAGCAACAGAATCTAAATCCCACAGAATCCGGCGACTACTACGGAACGAGCTCCTTCCCGGACGAAGTCCACCCGCATCACAACTTCTGTCGGAACCCATTCGGCGACGAAGAAGGTCCATGGTGCTTCAGGAGCGATGGGCCGGGACGGGACTATTGCGATATCCCCATCTGCACTTGAAATACTGCACTCAGGGAAAAATATCATTTTCCTCATAGACGATCTTTTATTTTCTCGCGGGAATGGTAACACTCTTCACTCTCCATTCGAATCAGGTTTGGCCATTCCTGGACTTTCTCCCAGTTTTGGGAAGGATTAAGTTCGGAATACGCTACACACACCGGGTTTTCTTGAAGTGCAATTTTACACCGTCGATTTGATTCCCTATCATGACGCGCATTGAAGTCGGAGATACCAGAACGTGACGTCGGAAGCTCGGGCATCAGTATCTAAAGCATTGTAAAGCATTGATTGTCAAACTGTCTGTCATCCAAACGTAGACAAGAAAACGAGAAGTTGTGAGAGGTTCATGACAAATTTACATAACAGGAAAATCTTCACTTGGTCTGGAATAGGACCACCTAATTATTTACCAGGATTGGACCATTTTGGAAATTTTTACATGAAAACCATTTTTCAGAAGTTTCTCTCCTCACTTCAATCCCTAACACCCTATGGGACTCACAAAGATAGGCCCACGCCTAACCCATGAATTACGTTTAATTCAGGCATCCCTCCAGCAGAATCTCAACCGGTCAAGTCACGGGACAAATTAGACCGGTCAATGACGGTCGCTTACATCTTCCGGACATTTCGATGAGGACTCGGGCTGAACTGGGAATTCTCAAACCGTCTCGACGAACTTAGTGGACGGAACGGCTGTGAGATTCAAATGCATGTTGCGCGCCATCCTGTTAATTCGCGGGTGTCGGAGCGCGATATCTCCGTATCATGCCGCATCGATCGCTCAAAGGAAACCGTCGTTTCGATCTCAGCACGTCAGAGGATCACAGCCTAAATATTGTTCGAATATTAAATTAGCCAGAAGATCGAAACGATCACGAATCCGACATGCTTGTACATTCGGCACGATGTGCGGATACCCAGAGAAAATGAGCTGAAGAATTAACGAATATTAAAAATAATTTTCCAGAACGAAATGGTACTAAAAGAAAAAGCATTTTTGTATTAATGTTTCGGTTGGAATACTTTATCCAAAACCACGCGAGGGGGGGGGGGAAACTCAAGATTCTTTGTTCTCCACAATCCCAAGAATTAGAAGCTTCGAGTTTTAATGAGCAATTTTCTTTCTTGTGAGACTAAAAAAAAACCAGGATTTTCACATTTGCATCGGGATGGTGGCGAAGAAAGGTAATAGCCACCAGACTATTCACGAAGCAGCCAAAGGTTCTCCACGCCAGGGGAAACAGATCATTATTAGAATAATATTTTTGGAGTCGATATGAATTGTTCTTGGTTAAAAAAAAAAACTATACTAGCATAAAAACTTGAGAAACACTGCAAGCTGCATGTAACACGACAACCGTATTGATTACGTATTCCTTCAAATTCCGACTGTTCATTCGATGCCAACTCAATGTCGGTTCAATGTGCTAATAAGAGAAACGACCTTAAGATGCGAATGACAGCCCGGAATGCTCTTTGAAATGGAACTCGATATCCAGGGAAGGTGCTCGACTTTTGCAATCATTTCCCAATTGGAAAGATTGTGAAATTTTTTTTTTTTACGGAAAGACACCAATTACCGTGAAGAGGAACGCCGTCCAAAAAAAAAATTGGAGTTCCAGCATACCTTTGCTTCACTCGACCAGGTCTTTAATTTTCCCATCGTCCTATTTATAAGGGAATCACATACTTCGGGTTTTGCTTTTCTATCATCTAATAAGGAAACGACTGAAGCGCAATCCCAGGTGCTCATCGCCTTGAAATGCAGCTTGAATCGCGAAACGTACGGAATTGCCAGGGCTGGGCAGTTGCTAGGGAGATTTAAGACAGCCTCATTAATCAGCTTCCCTGCACTGTTTAGATGTCAGCCTACGAAAAAGTATGAATAATGAATTCCAGACGGCCACCAAGGCCGGCATCGCCTTCAATCCAGTCCGTCGGAAATTCCGATAGCACATCCTCTCTCTTCCCACTGGGGCCATCCCGCTCATAACCGAGAACCCAGCCGTTTCGAGTTCGATGGAGTCCCGTGGATCATGGGCGGAGAGACACCGGGCCTTCCTCGCGCTGTTGCTCTTACTGCGAAACGTCACATCCATCGATTTCATCCCTTATTTGGCTGTGCATCCGGGGCAGAGATACGGAAACGTGGCGTCCGAATTTGAGACCGCAACTCTTGGAACGTGCGGCATAAAATGCGTGATGCAGAAACCGACGCCCTGCTACGCCTTCAATTACCGGGAGACCGACCGCTCGTGTCATTTGATCCTCGACGCGAACGGCACACTCATGGAAGCCGATGGATACCGGTCCTTCGTCCAGAGTGAGTCGTTGCCGATTTGTATCTTCCGATTTCGAGATGTGACCCAGACCACCCTATTCCCATACTTAGGGTTATGTCTCAAAATGCATCCCAAGATCCCGAACGCCAATGTGTCCTTCGAGGGATGGAACGGCTCATACCCAGCCCCAGCAGGCGGCATCGTCACCTTCCGCTGCCGCCATCCGAATGGGTTCACGGACGGCGCTCATCTCCACACGGCGGAATGTGCCCCCTTGGATCCGGATTCCTGGTGTTTCTCCTTCCAAGAGGGTGCTGTGGAATGTGAGGACATGATATCTCAAGTATTTCATTACAGTTTACCTAAAACTTTCCATCTCAACTTCTATCGTGAAGTTCTGGGATTTTGAGGAAATCATCATGTAACATATGTCACATATGAGACATATGTTACTTATGTCACATATTCGCACCGAAGTTAGTCGACATCTCACAAAATCTATTGGGATTCAGTTATTTCATTCCTCTTAATCGAACGAGTGATATCTCTGAAAGGAGAAGTATAAAAAGCGACTCCATTTTCCTCCGGTCGCAATACACAGTCCTACCGTGCACAAACGTTCTTTCTCGTCGCATCTGTTCAGGGCAGAAGCGGATTGCATCGCTCGGAGAGAGATTTCGTTCTAGTGGTTTCTTATGTCTTTCATATCTCTTAGCGATGCAAGATACTTCGTGGAATCCTGACCTCAGAAGTTTCACTGCGAATGCCGTCAGTATTCTAAGCACAGGGATTTTTACCCGACTCCCTCCGGTTTGAGTCAATTTTGTTGGAAATGTTATTCGCGACACAAATTTTCGATTTGAATCAGATTGTTCGTGCGAGAATTTCGGATGGGCCTGAATAGAAACGAAAATACAAGAACTAGAATTGTCAACAATGAAGTCGACACGTGAAGTAGCCATATTCATGACTTAGACAGGTGGCCAAGACATACCTGGTACAAATTAAAGCTGTGTAACGTGCATTAATAATATTTAAAGTAACTTATTCATCATGGAACAACGCAAATTGAGAAATTTGAAGAATAAAATATTCGCATCAAATTCACGTCTTGTTCAGCTATAAAAAAAAGGCCGATGGTTCTAGGTGTCACAATGGCGTCACTATAGCATTCATATCATTTATAATAAATTTTAAAGCAATTGACGCCTTTTCTCATTTAGCTAAAAAAAAAAATTTTTAACCCACAATGATTTTGTTTCACTTTGAAACATTTTATGCATGACAGGCGAGAAGGTACACGTGTATCCCGAATGTCGGCTGACAGAGAAGGGCAGGGAATACATAGGAAGGGTGAACGTGACGGAATCGGGGCGGGGCTGTCTCGACTGGAGAGACTATCCCTACGGCACGCCGGACGACTTCAACGTCACGGTTGAAGTCAAGGAATTTCTGGAATCCAAATCGCCATTCGATCCTGACCGAACGCCGGCGACGAACGCGGCGTTCGAGGTCCACTTCCTCAATCTGGACTCCTGGTCCCACCAGAACTTCTGTCGGAATCCGTCCGGGAGGGACAGACCCTGGTGCTTCGTCTCCGACCCTGCAGAGCAATGGGAATACTGCGACATCCCAACGTGCACAGACCCAGGTAAAACCCTTCGCTGCACTTCCAGCCCGTGATTGCTTCTGCCTGGAGCAATGCACTGGAATGCGCTGATGCATTCTCCACCAAATGCAAAAACCACTAATGGAAGATTCGCTTTTAAATAACACGCGGACTGAGATGATCAAGTCAGGAAGAAAGTTGTGGCGAGTTTTTAAATATATGTTGTTGGCCTGCGTCCATTTAATTAATCGCCTACGCCGGCTTGTGTAAATATACATTTAATCCGAGCCTTAATTACCAATAATGAAAGACCACCGAGGAACAAATGTAAATTTAAACAGTCGATGATCACCTTACAAATTAAGCTTAACCTACTCAATTACAAGCCCAACAACTGCCATACATCTCAAATTCGCTTCTGGAAAGGGCTCCAGTATCTTCCGACAAATTTACCATTGAAAGAAAAAAAAGGGGGGGGGGGGGGGAGGGGGGAAGACATCTTCCTTTCCTACCGTCAACTTCCTAAGATGGGAAACAATAGAATTAGAACAATAGAAGCTTCCTTGTGAATAGAAATTCAAATGGTTTCAGTAAACGTACAGTTTCGTCGCCTATTGCATGAAACACAGCAGGAAATGTTCCAATTAAATAATTAGCAGTAAAAACACCTGGACTTTTTACATCTCAGTTAGTCCATCGAAATTATTTTCTTTCCGCCATGTTTCGTTACAGAGACCAAGGAATTAATTCCCAGATATTTCTAATGAACTCCCGGGCGTTTTCGCTGGCTTGACGGCAACTCAAAAGGGGGGGGGGGGTTGCCACGTCCTTTTTTCGATTTAGTCCCTCCCGAGTGCAAGACGACTCAGCAAGGTGGCGAATACGTGGGACGAGCGAACGCGACGATCGCGGGCGATCCGTGCGTTCCGTGGAAGGTCGCGTTTGGCGAGATCGGGGTGTTTCTCCCTGCCTTTCCGGATGGGGACCGTGTCGACTCGGAGCACAACTTCTGCCGGAATCCGATCGGGGCTGTTGCTCCGTTTTGTTACTATCGAGACGATTTCGACGATTTTTGGGAGCGATACTGCGACATCCCGTTCTGCGATCGGGAAGTGGGAGCAGTCGGAGAGGGCGTGCATCCGGAATGTCGACTTTCCGAAAGGGGGAAGGAATACGTCGGGAGCAAGAACGAGACCGAAACGGGAAAGGGATGCCTGCCGTGGGATTCTCGACTCTACGACAGACGCTGGGATTTTCGTTCCTTCGCTTCCGAAGCATTTTTCGTGGACGGATTATTTAATGCGCTCAGTGGGGAGTACGAGCTACCCAGTCACGATCGCTGCAGAAACCCGGGATCGTACCGAAGGCGACCGTGGTGCTTCGTCTCCGACGTGGACGCGAAGTGGGAGTATTGCGACATCCCCTTCTGCCACGACCTCGGTCAGTCCATCCAGGAGCCTCCCCGGAAAGAACACCTCGCGTTCCGACTCGCATTCTTTCCTTCTTTCTCCCAGCTCCACCGGAATGTAAAGTGAGTCAGCGAGGAGCGGAATACGCGGGGAAGAAGAACGTGACAATATCGGGGTACCCCTGCCTGAATTGGCTCTCGATCGTGGAGGGAAATAGGCCATATTCATTTTCGGATGAACTCGATGGACGTCACACGTTCTGCCGCAACCCTGTGGGCTTCCTCAACGGTCCTGCTTGCTTCATCAGCCAGATGGACTGGGAGTATTGCGACGTTCCATATTGTCAGTTCGACGATGAAGAACGGTGCGACGTTCGAGTCGACGGGCAGTGCGTCAGTGAGTAAATAAAAGTGTCTGGCCGCACCGAAATTTCGCTATGAAAAATTATTATTTTTATTACCTGTTGCTCATTTCGGCTTAGCGTGAGGGCTTGTTATTTTCCCATCCGAAAAGTTTGCCAGGTGCTGTGCTGCTCTAATTATGCTTCCGTCCTCGAATCGGGATAATTGATTTTTTATGCATGATCCATTTTGGGATGAGTTCGTGGGATCAGCCGAGATTGACACGGAGGGCAGCAGTGACTGATCTTCGAGATAATGCATATAGACCGGGCGTAACACGATCCCCTGAAATTTTTGTCAGGTTATTTCAATGTGTCCAAAATCCGCCTAGAATCGCAATAAAATGTCTGGAAAGCCGCGAAATCGAAATCTACTTTTTTATTTCCCGAGAAAGTAGGATAGATATTATTTTATATAAATGGGCAGGCCTTAAATTGACCTGAAGACAGTCCGTGGGTTAAGCTTTGGTTTAGCAGCAGTGAGTCCAGTGAGAGGGGAAACCCATTAAATATTTCTACTTCGTGAACTGTCGAGACTCGTGATGCCTTCCAGGTCCAGTCGAATGCAAGACGGACGCGATCGGCCTGTCGTACACGGGGACGAAGAACGTGACTCGCTACGGACACAAATGCCAAGCGTGGATGAGCAACTCACCGAACAACAAGGTTCCCATCTTCGAGGACTACACGGACGAGCAGCAGATCCTGAACCCGAGGGAGTCCGGCGACTACTACGGGACGGCCTCCTTCCCGGACGACGTCCACCCGCGTCACAACTTCTGTCGGAACCCATTCGGCGACGAAGGAGGTCCATGGTGCTTCAGGAGCGATGGGCCGGGACGGGACTATTGCGATATTCCCATCTGCAATTGAAATACTGCACTCGGAAAAATATCATTTTCCTTATGGACGATCTTTTATTTTCTCGCCGGAATGGTAACACTCTTGGCTCTTTATTCGAATCAGGTTTGGCCATTCCTGGACTTTCTCCCAGTTTTGGGAAGGATTGAGCTCGGAATACGCTACGCACACTGGGTTTTCTTGAAGTGCTTTTTTCCACCGTCGATTTCATTCCCTATCATGACGCGCATTGAAGTCGGAGATACCAGAATGTGACATCGGAAGGTCGGGCATTAGTATCTAAAGCATTGTAGGTAGATTGTCAAGCTGGCCGTCATCCAAACGTAGACAAGAAAACCGACAAGAAGTCGTTAGAGGTTCATGACAAAATTACATAACAGGAGCATCTTCACATGGTCTGAAATAGGGTCACCTAATTAGGTAGCAGGATATTATCATTTTGAAAATTTTTACATGAAAATCATTTTTCAGAAGTTTCTCACCTCACTTCAGTCCCTTACACCCTATGGGACTCACAAAGTTAGACCCACGCCGAAGGCGGTTATACCGAAGGCGACCGTGGTGCTTCGTCACCGACGTGGACACGAACTGGGAGTACTGTGACATCCCCTTCTGCCACGACTTCAGTCAGTCCATCCAGGAGCCTGCCTGAAAGAACAACGCCTTGCATTCTGTTTAGTTTTCTTCCCTTTCGCAGGTTCACCAGAACCTGCGAATGAAAGTGATAGAAAAGGAGGAGAATACGTGGGGAAGAGGAACGTGATGATATCGGGCTTCCCTTGTCTGTCCCCTGATCATTTGTTAAATTTTCACACGAAATCCATTTTTCAGACATTTTTTCTCCTCACTTCAATCCCTAACATTTCATATAATACTCACTAAGATAGGCCCACGCCTAAATCATGAATTATGTTTAAGTCAGGCTTCCCTCCAACAGAATCTGAACCGGCAAGTCACGGGACAAATTAGACCGGTCAATGGCGGTCGCTTACGTCTTCCAGACATTTCGATGAGGACTCGGGCTGAACTGGGAATTCTCAAACCGTCTCGGCGAACTTAGTGGACGGAACGGCTGTGAGATTCACATGCATGTTGCGCGCCATCCTGTTAATTCGCGGGTGCACGATGGGCGGATACCCAGAGAAAATGGGCTGAAGCCTGCCCGCGAAGCCTAAACGAATATTAAAAATAATTTTCCAGAACGAAGTGGGACTAAAAAAAAAAGCATTTTTGTATTAATGTTTCGGTTGGAATACTTTCTCCTAAACCACCCGAGGGAGAAAAAACCCACAAGATTCCGCGTTCTCCACAATCCCAAGAATTAGAAGCATCGAGTTTTAATGAGCAATTTTGTTTCTTGTGAGACTCAAAAAAATACCAGGACTTTCACATTTGCAAAGGGATGGTGGCGAAGAAAGGTAATAGGCACCAGACTATTCACGAAGCAGGCAAAGGTTCTCCACGCCAGTGGAAATTTTGCAATCATTTCCCAATTGGAAAGATTGTGAAATGTTTTTTTTTTTTTATGGAAAGACACCAATTACCGTGAAGAGGAACGCCGTCCAAAAAAAAAATTGGAGTTCCAGCATACCTCTACTTCACTCGATCAGGTCTTTAATTGTGCCATCGTCCTATTTATAAGGGAATCATATACTTCGGGTTTTGTATTTGTATCATCTAATAAGGAACCGATTGAAGCGCAATCCCAGGTGCTCATCGCCTTGAATTGAAGCTTGAATCGCGAAACGTACGGAATTGCCAGGGCTGGGCAGTTGCTAGGGAGATTTAAGACAGCCCCATTAATCAGCTTCCCTGCACTGTTTAGATGTCAGTCTACGAAAAAGTATGAATAATGAATTCCAGACGACCACCAAGGCCGGCATCGCCTTCAATCCAGTCCGTCGGAAATTCCGATAGCACAACCTCTCTCTTCCCACTGGGGCCATCCCGCTCATAACCGAGAACCCAGCCGTTTCGAGTTCGATGGAGTCCCGTGGATCATGGGCGGAGAGACACGGGGCCTTCCTCGCGCTGTTGCTCTTACTGAGAAACGTCACATCCATCGATTTCATCCCTTATTTGGCTGTGCATCCGGGGCAGAGATACGGAAACGTGACGTCCGAATTTGAGACCGCAACTCTTGGAACGCGCGGCATAAAATGCGTGATGCAGAAACCGACGCCCTGCTACGCCTTCAATTGCCGGGAGACCGACCGCTCGTGTCATTTGATCCTCGACGCGAACGGCACCCTCTTGGAAGCCGATGGATACCGGTCCTTCGTCCAGAGTGAGTCGTTGCCATTTTGTATCTTCCGGTTTTGGAGATGTGACCCAGACCACCCTATTCCCATACTTAGGGTTATGTCTCAAAAAGCATCCCAAGATCCCGAACGCCAATGTGTCCTTCGAGGGATGGAACGGCTCATACCCAGCCCCAGCAGGCGGCACCGTCACCTTCCGCTGCCGCCATCCGAATGGGTTCACGGACGGCGCTCATCTCCACACGGCGGCATGTGCCCCCTTGGATCCGGATTCCTGGTGTATCTCCTTCCAAGAGGGTGCTGTGGAATGTGAGGACATGCTATCTCAAGTATTTTATTACAGTTTACCTAAAACTTTCCATCTCAACTTCTATCGTGTAGTTCTGGGATTTTGAGGAAATCATCATGTAACATATGTCACATATGAGACATATGTTACATATGAGACATATGTCACATATTCGCACCGAAGTTAGTCGACATCTCACAAAATCTATTGGGATTCAGTTATTTCATTCAGCTTAATCGAACGAGTGATATCTCTCACAGGAAAAGTAGAAAAAGCGACTCCATTTTCCTCCGGTCGCAATACACAGTGCTACCGTGCACAAACGTTCCTTCTCGTCGCATCGGTTCAGGGCAGAATCGGATTACATCGCTCGGAGAGAGATTTCGTTCTAGTGGTTTCTCATGTCTTTCATATCTCTTAGCGATGCAAGATACTTCGTGGAATCCTGACCTCAAATGTTTCACTGCGAATGCCGTCAGTATTCTAAGCACAGGGATTTTTACCCGACTCCCTCCGGTTTGAGTAAATTTTGTTGGAAATGTTATTGGCGATACAAATTTTTCGATTTGAATCAGATTGTTCGTGCGAAAATTTCGGATGGGCCTGAATAGAAACGAAAATACAAGAACTAGAATTGTAAACAATGAAGTTGACACATGAAGTAACCATATTCATGACTTAGACAGGTGGCCAAGATATACCTGGTACAAATTAAAGCTGTGTAACGTGCATTAATAGTATTTGAAGTAACTTATTCATCATGGAACAACGCAAAATGAGAAATTTGAAGAATAAAATATTCGCATCAAATTCATGTCTTGTTCAGCTGTAAAAAAAAAGGCCGATGGTTCTAGGTGTCACTATGGCGTCACTATAGCATTCATATCATTTATAATAAATTTTAAAGCAATTGACGCCTTTTCTCATTTAGCTAAAAAAAAATTTTTTAACCCACAATGATTTTGTTTCACATTGAAATATTTTATGCATGACAGGCGAGAAGGTACACGTGTATCCAGAATGTCGGCTGACAGAGAAGGGCAGGGAATACATAGGAAGGGTGAACGTGACGGAATCGGGGCGGGGCTGTCTCGACTGGAGAGACTATCCCTACGGTACACCAGACGACTTCAACGTCACGGTTGAAGTCAAGGAATTTCTGGAATCCAAATCGCCATTCGATCCTGACAGAACGCCGGCGACGAACGCGGCGTTCGAGGTCCACTTCCTCAATCTGGACTCCTGGTCTCACCAGAACTTCTGTCGGAATCCGTCCGGAAGGGACAGACCCTGGTGCTTCGTTTCCGACCCCCCTGCAAAGCAATGGGAATACTGCGACATCCCAACGTGCACAGACACAGGTAAAAACCCTTCGCTGCACTTCCAGCCCGTGATTGCTTCTGCCTGGAGCAATGCACTGGAATGCGCTGATGCATTCTCCACCAAATGCAAAAACCGCTAATGGAAGATTCGCTTTCAAATAACACGCGGACTGAGATGATCAAGTCAGGAAGAAAGTTGTGGCGAGTTTTTAAATATATTTTGTTGGCCTGCGTCCATTTAATTAATCGCCTACGCCGGCTTGTGTACTTCTGGTAAATATACATTTAATCCGAGCCTTAATTACCAATAATAAAAGCCCACCGAAGTACAAATGTAAATTTAAACAGTCGATGATCACCTTACAAAAATTAAGCTGAAACTACTCAATTACAAGCCCAACAACTGCCATACATCCCAAATTCGCTTCTGGAAAGGGCTCCAGTATCTTCCGACAAATTTACCATTGAAAGAAAAAAAAAGGGGGGGGACGGGGGAAGACATCTTCCTTTCCTACCGTCAACTTCCTAAGAGGGGAAACAGTAGAATTAGAACAAGAGAAGCTTCCTTCTGAATAGAAATTCAAATGGTTTCAGTAAACGTACAATTCCGTCGCCTATTGCATGAAACACGGCAGGAAATGTTCCAAAACACCTGGACTTTTTACATCTCAGTTAGTCCATCGAAATTATTTTCTTTCCGCCATATTTCGTTACAGAGAGCAAGGAATTAATTCCCAGATATTTCAAATGAACTCCCGGGCGTTTTCGCTAGCTTGACGGCAACTCAAAAGGGGGGGGGGGGGTTGCCACGTAGAAAAAAGCTAAATCAGGGAGGGCTCACGTTCTGCTGAGTCGTTCCACCGCTTATGCACCCTGCTCGCTTGCGCTGCTAGCGCCCGCTAGGCACGCAAGGCACCTTCCAGCGCAAACCGCTCTAGCCGGTGTTTCTCCCTGCCTTTCCGGATGGGGACCGTGTCGACTCGGAGCACAACTTCTGCCGGAATCCGATCGGGGCTGTTGCTCCGTTTTGTTACTATCGAGACGATTTCGACGATTTTTGGGAGCGATACTGCGACATCCCGTTCTGCGATCGGGAAGTCGGAGCAGTCGGAGAGGGCGTGCATCCGGAATGTCGACTTTCCGAAAGGGGGAAGGATTACGTCGGGAGCAAGAACGAGACCGAAACGGGAAAGGGATGCCTGCCGTGGGATTCTCAACTCTACGACAGACGCTGGGATTTTCGTTCCTTCGCTTCCGAAGAATTTTTCGTGGACGGATTATTTAATGCGCTCAGTGGCGAGTACGAGCTACCCAGTCACAATCGCTGCAGAAACCCGGGATCGTACCGAAGGCGACCGTGGTGCTTCGTCTCCGACGTGGACGCGAAGTGGGAGTATTGCGACATCCCCTACTGCCACGCCCTCGGTCAGTCCATCCAGGAGCCTCCCCGGAAAGAACACCTCGCGTTCCGACTCGCATTCTTTCCTTCTTTCTCCCAGGTCCACCGGAATGTAAAGTGAGTCAGCGAGGAGCAGAATACGCGGGGAAGAAGAACGTGACAATATCGGGGTACCCCTGCCTGAATTGGCTCTCGATCGTGGAGGGAAATAGGCCATATTCATTTTCGGATGAACTCGATGGACGTCACACGTTCTGCCGCAACCCTGTGGGCTTCCTCAACGGTCCTGCTTGTTTCATCAGCGTCTACCTGACCCTCATAACGCTGCAAGGTATAACAGTCAAGCTGCTACTTCTTGCCACGCTGCAAGCTCAGCTGCCCGTCACGCAGTCACTCATTTATTTTCACAGACCGGCGTGGCTTTAAAGCGCATGAAATATTGTTATTACCTGCTGCTCCTTTCGGCTTAGCGTGAGGGCTTGTTATTTTCCCATCCAAAAGGTTGCCGGGTGCTGTGCTGCTCTAATTCTGCTTCCGTCCTCGAATCGGAATCGGGATCATTTATTTTTTTAATGCATGATCCATTGCGGGCTGAGTTCGTGGGATCAGCCGAGATTGACTCGGAGGGCAGCAGTGACTGATCTTCGAGATAATGCATACAGACCGGACGTAGCACGATCCCTGAAATTTTCGTCAGTCAGGTTATTTCAATATGTCCAAAATCTGCTTAGAATCACAATAAAACATCTGGAAAGCCGCGAAATCGAAATCTACATTTTTTCAGTTACAAAGGAGGATAGATATTATTTTATGTAAAAGGACAGGCCTTGAATTGACCTGAAGACAGTCCGTGGGTTAAGCTTTGGTTTAGCAGCAGTGAGTCCATGAGGGGAAACCCATTAAATATTTCTACTTCATGAACTGTCGAGTCTCGTCGTGCCTTCCAGGTCCAGTCGAATGCAAGACGGACGCGATCGGCCTGTCGTACACGGGGACGAAGAACGTGACTCGCAACGGGCACAAATGCCAAGCGTGGATGAGCAACTCACCGAACAACAAGGTTCNCGTCAGTGAGTAAATAAAAGTGTCTGGCCGCACCGAAATTTCGCTATGAAAAATTATTATTTTTATTACCTGTTGCTCATTTCGGCTTAGCGTGAGGGCTTGTTATTTTCCCATCCGAAAAGTTTGCCAGGTGCTGTGCTGCTCTAATTATGCTTCCGTCCTCGAATCGGGATAATTGATTTTTTATGCATGATCCATTTTGGGATGAGTTCGTGGGATCAGCCGAGATTGACACGGAGGGCAGCAGTGACTGATCTTCGAGATAATGCATATAGACCGGGCGTAACACGATCCCCTGAAATTTTTGTCAGGTTATTTCAATGTGTCCAAAATCCGCCTAGAATCGCAATAAAATGTCTGGAAAGCCGCGAAATCGAAATCTACTTTTTTATTTCCCGAGAAAGTAGGATAGATATTATTTTATATAAATGGGCAGGCCTTAAATTGACCTGAAGACAGTCCGTGGGTTAAGCTTTGGTTTAGCAGCAGTGAGTCCAGTGAGAGGGGAAGCCCATTAAATATTTCTACTTCGTGAACTGTCGAGTCTCGTGATGCCTTCCAGGTCCAGTCGAATGCAAGACGGACGCGATCGGCCTGTCGTACACGGGGACGAAGAACGTGACTCGCTACGGAGCCTCCCCGGAAAGAACACCTCGCGTTCCGACTCGCATTCTTTCCTTCTTTCTCCCAGCTCCACCGGAATGTAAAGTGAGTCAGCGAGGAGCGGAATACGCGGGGAAGAGGAACGTGACAATATCGGGGTACCCCTGCCTGAAATGGCTCTCGATCGTGGAGGGAAATAGGCCATAATCTTTTTCGGATGAACTCGATGGACGTCACACGTTCTGCCGCAACCCTGTGGGTTTCCTCAACGGTCCTGCTTGCTTCATCAGCCAGATGGACTGGGAGTATTGCGACGTTCCATATTGTCAGTTCGACGATGAAGAACGGTGCGACGTTCGAGTCGATGGGCAATGCGTCAGTGAGTAAAAAAAATGTTTGGCGGCACCTAAATTTCGCCATGAAATATTATTATTACCTGCTGCTCATTCGGCTTAGGGTGAGGGCTTGTTTTTTTTCCCATCCGAAAGGCTGCCGGGTGCTGTGCTGCTCTAATTCTGCTTTCGTCCTCGAATCGGAATCGGGAAAATTTATTTTTTTAATGCATGATCCATTTTGGGCTGAGTTCATGGGATCAGTCGAGATTGACACGGAGGGCAGCAGTGACTGATCGAGATAATGCATACAGACCGGACGTAACATGATCCCTGAAATTTTCGTCACTGTCAGGTTATTTCAATATGTCCAAAATCCGCCTAGAATCACAATAGAACATCTGGAAGGCCGCGAAATCGAAATCTACATTTTTTCCCTTAGAAAGGAGGATAGATATTATTTTCCGTAAATGGGCAGGCCTTGAATTGACCTGAAGCCAGTCCGTGGGTTAAGCTTTCGTTTAGTAGCAGTGAGTCCAGTGAGAGGGGAGTGATGCTGTCGAGTCTCGTGATGCCTTCCAGGTCCAGTCGAATGCAAGACGGACGCGATCGGCCTGTCGTACACGGGGACGAAGAACGTGACTCGCAACGGGCACAAATGCCAAGCGTGGATGAGCAACTCACCGAACAACAAGGTTCCCATCTTCGAGGACTACACGGACGAGCAGCAGATCCTGAACCCGAGGGAGTCCGGCGACTACTACGGGACGGCCTCCTTCCTCACAAATGCCAAGCGTGGATGAGCAACTCACCGAACAACAAGGTTCCCATCTTCGAGGACTACACGGACGAGCAGCAGATCCTGAACCCGAGGGAGTCCGGCGACTACTACGGGACGGCCTCCTTACCGGACGACGTCCACCCGCGTCACAACTTCTGTCGGAACCCATTCGGCGACGAAGGAGGTCCATGGTGCTTCAGGGGCGATGGGCCGGGGCGGGACTATTGCGATATTCCCATTTGTAATTGAAACACTGCACTGTGGTATATTTTTATTTTTCCTTATTGCCAGTCCCTTTTTTTCTATCACGAATTCTGACTCGCTTCGTTATTCGAAGCAGGATTGACCATTCTTCCTCGTTCATGTAAATATTTTATTACTTTTGAAGGGTTATTTGTCCATGAAAGCGATGCGAACTCTTTCAAACTATCCTAATTTCCACGGAATGCGAGCATGTCTGCAAGGAAATCACATCAAATGAAATATCCGAAACTAATTTTTCGTGTTCCTGTCGATATTTTTTTGTCACAAACGAATAAAATCCTTGCACTGACGCCATGTGAACATTTTCCGTTTGTATTATCGACCGAGAGAAATTAAGAGTACGGTCTGAATTGCTGCAGCCATTATCAACTGCAGTTCCTAAAAGAAAATTTTAAAGCAGTTGCTAAAAGGGTTACAATACCATGGGAATATGGAACCATTACTGTTTCCCATATTATAAAGCAATCATCATATTAGCAGGTTTGCATAATATTTAATTTCAAACCAAGGTGGCAGAGGCATCCATGAATGAAACAATGACTGAGATGTTACAAGGACAAAAGAATTTCCCATTTATTCCTCAACATGGGTCACATCTGATCACTCTTCTAGATTATGCAGTTTGTCGGTACCTCGTCTCTCCCCCGCGGACGAGACGGTATAAACGATACAACAGAAATAACATCAGCGTTGGACGAACACATCCAACTCGGTCAGGTAGTGCAGTGGCTTCACTTGATTGCGTCCCCTGTGAGAAAATAAAAAGTTTTAATTAATGACACAAGGTATTAGTCTCAACACAAGAAAAAACAAAAAAAGGGAAAAAAGAAAAGTTCAGAGCTTCTTGAGCCTTTCAAAGAAACCCCAGCAAAGTTTCCACACCTGGCTTGTGCAAAAAAGAGTTTCTCCTTGGGAAACTCGGCCGGATTGTCGCCGAGGCAGGTGGACTCCAGGTAGACGTCCATTCCGAGAAGGAGGCGGTGCAGCTGGAGGCTGAGGATCTCCTCCTTCCGCCCGACACCGTCGAGGTGGACGTTCAACTCCCGCTCCAGTTCCTGTCCCATCGAGTACATACGATTCTAAATCACGACTCAGTGATAACCAGTTAACACGACATTGATGAAATCAAAGATGCAGAAGAGACTGGAAGTAAGCTCACATTCCAAAATAAAATCATTAATATTGAACTGAGAAGTTCCACGACTAGCTCAAAGGTGGCTCTCCAAAAGAGACAAATCATGGCATTGTTTCAAAAATACATATCAATTTATGACCTTTAAAAACAAAATGGGCATGGAACTAATTTTTAATCCTTTGACAGCTGAGGCTTAGTTTTAAAGAATTTGGCACCTGCCCCACACCAGTATTTTTTTGTCACTTCATTCCTTTGGGAATGTCAAGGCTTCAATATTAAATGAATTTTTGAAGAGAAATGTGCAACCTACATACTACATTCAACCCACAAGCATATTTGAGCCTGGTGCCTGAGGATCAAAGTTTGAAAATAAGTGCATTCAGGATTGGCAGTCAAAGGGTTAAGGATACAACTAGGAGATGAGCCCATTCAATTAGGTTTCAAAGAACACATGAGCCCTTGAAATTAAATCCACTGTTCTGACTCATGAAAATATGTAAAGCAACCCCATCTTGCATGAACTGAATCTGGAAAAAACTCCAACATGGAAGTTGAATGCCACATCAGGATAAACAATTTTTGAGCATGCTTAAGCAAGGTGACAAACGAAAGTCTCCCATCAAGAGAAGCTCTCTCGAATAAAACCCCCTTCTATGTTGCTCTTTCCCTTTACTCTCATATCCACCTTTAAGACTATGATCTGTGATAGTAGACCTGATGGAGGCAAATCATGGGATTAGGCTTCAACCTGCCTTTTTTGGGTAAAGGATGAACATCCTAAGCAACTAAGAGCTGAATTTTTTGCTTGAGTCCCTCTGTCCTTTAATTTAAAAACTCTGGCAACCCATGAAAGGGTTCCCTGCATACATAAAATTTAGGTTACAAAGTCCATGGAACCTGAGCTGGTGGGAGGAATAAGAAAAAAATGTTCATAACAAATGAGAAAGGTACTAGTAGGAGGATAGCAATATTCCAAATTAAGTACCACATCACTTGAGGAGTGAGAAGGTGGCATCAGGTTTCATTCAAAGTTACCTAAGGGAAAAAGCCTCAAGTTCCTAGGAATGGAGGGGGGGGGGGGGGGATGACTTACCCGGACATTCTCATCGTTCTTGGCTGTTCGTTCTCCTCTCCATTTCAGGCTGAGGCTGAAGAGGGGGATCTTGCGTGGATAGTCTGGATCCACAGCAATCAGTGCCACAATGCGAGCTGCTGACAAATAAAACAAAAAAGAAAATTGAATTCACTATATTCAAAATAAAATAAAATAATAAGGTCCCTCAATTTCCTCAAAAGCTGGATATGAGAGCTTACTTCTTGCAAGCGCCAATTCTTTTTTCTCTCATATCAGGGGTGATCCATAATACTTTGGAGAAATACTCTCAGTGCAGCAAGTCAACTACTTCCACAAATCCAATATAACAGTAAGTGCTATGTCTTGATGTCACCATCAAAACTGGATGGTGACAAAACCCATAATGGAACTGTAAGTGATAAATATTACATGTGCCAGCATCATTGAATCAGGTCTCTCGTAAAATATGAATTTTGAAAATCTACCCTATGGCTAATTCTGCCAACTTTGCCATGCATTGACTGCTTGTTAACAGTTCTAAGACTCCACATGCTAGGGCATCTGTGTGAAACGTTGCAAGGCAATGATAAGAATCGGCAAGAGGAACCAGAAGGCGACAGACCAGATCCTCGCTCGAGAAGGGCACGGTAGAATCGGGAGTGCGGGGAAACGAGCTCCTCCCTGACGATGGGGATCACAGTGGAGGCTGAGCTGTACTCCCCCCAACTGATGCTCTTCCATGATGACAGCTTGCTCCCAATCTTCCCAGAATACACTGCCTCACGTCCGTTGCTCACACTCACATGGAGGGACTCTGCCGGCCATAAATAAGAACACATTCGTATCTTGGCAACTTCAAAGGTAATGGAATAGAGGTAATTAGTAATGGAATGGAAAATATCAGTGAATCCTTTGCACTTCCTTAGAATAGGTACCCCTCTAACAAATCCATCAATCAATGCAAGATTTAAATTTCTATACAATGTTCACATCTGAATTAGTGGTTTTTAGTGAGTCTCAGCTAAGTCACCATTCCCAACCTGCCCATCAATCCTTGCATTCATTGATGCATTTGGAAGGAGCATGCACCTTATAATAATAAAAAAAGGAAAGGTAAATCACTGCACTCCAGGAGTTCAAAGGAAACACCAAGATATATAATTCTAATATGAAAATAAAATATACTGCACTCTCTCATGGTTGAAACCACTTTTTCTTTACCCTTTTATGGCTTAACACTTCACACTGCAATGATTATGAATCACTATTCAATTTCATTGGAAATCTCCATTCCTCTTCTTGAGTCAGATTGCACAAAATGAGGATCCACTTTCCAGGAGCCACAATGAAGTGGTGCAATAAAAAGAAAGGTACCTTCTCAACTGCCTATATCTTTCATAAAAATATTGCAGATCTATTCTACCTCTATTGGTAAACCATGTCAGATGATCTCTCATATTGACATCATCAGGTAAAGTGCTGCATCTTCGCCAATTTTTGTTAGAGAATGTAAAATAATTTTTAAAATCTATACATTTATTGGCAAAAGAATAAAAGAGACATTTCATATTCCATCTTTCAGAGCTGTAGTCATCAAAGTTCCCATACAAGAACATATATTGTTTAGGTGCCCTCAGAATCAGTTCTTGGCAGCATAGAATGGCTTTCAAGGGTGACCCTAAATGCTTGTTTTGCATGAATGCATATTTCAGTAGCTGAACATAGCTGGTATAACTTTACCAGATTTACATGTGTGTCAGATTTCATATTTCCCTATAGTTTCCTTGGAATGGAGAACTTGGAACAAACATCAAAATGATTGAAAAAAAAGTACACACTGAATGAGAGGAAACAGGACTAATATCTCCAAATTTAACAAGTCTTCAGCACGAATTCAACAGACAAACATTCCCACCGTGAAGCTGGGACTCAGAACTCACCAATTTGTACAATCTGCTTCTGCAAGGCAACACGAGAGGCAACTCTCTCCCGGATGGCATCAATGACATCCTTGATGCATCGGGCACTCACTTCCGGATTAGCCTTCACCAACGTTCCTCGACTCCCACCGCCAACATTATCATCCTTTAAAATCAGACAAATTCACCATGAAGTCACCTTACAGCCAGAGAAATAACTAGTACTGGAAATCACATGATGCAGATTGATTTACATCTGAGGCCACAATCAAATTTCATAACTGAGCATCATTAACCACTCATGCACTTTCCATAATCAGAAAGAAACAAAATTTCAGAGCCCACAAGGGTTCACTGAGATTTTGCTTAGAGACTTTCATTGCATCCAAGATGCAATCAGTGCCTAATGCACTTCTACAATTTACATCAACCATGAACCCTCTTCCCCTTTCCATGTTAAATATGAGGAGTGCCAAGAAGTGGAAGCAGACCCTATGAACATCGTAAAGAGGTAGAAAGTCCAGGCCAGCCATCTTCTGGGCCCAGTGGTAGGGAATGCCCAATTGGGGCACCAATTCTGCCCATGACTCCACCTTCACCTCCTTCAGGTGGTGTCGCGTCGTCGGATTTGGGGATTCCTCCCCCGAATCTCCTGGGAACAGGTGCGACAGGATGTTCTCTGGATCCAACAGGTTTCTGTAAATGATACCATATCACACTATGCATGCTCTTCCAGGGAGAGAAAGACTAGCTAGAAAAGCCCCATCTAGTAGGGCCTATTTTATTAAATGGATATTGGAAGCAATGGAAGGACATGGTTCCAGGATGTGGATAGGGGAGGCACTTGATCAATTTTGCAAGTTACACTTTTCCCACAGCCTTGTGTTGCCTCATCTTTTGTTGAAAAATATATTTAGGCCTGAAGGGAACTGGCAACAGCAGAACATACCAATGGCACAAGACCCAGGTGCTGCTACACTTTCAGGAATGAGCAAATATGGTATTTCACTGTTTCCATCACACCCTGTCTACTCGCAGGGATATTTTAAAATGATCTTGAGTGCATAGCAATGCATGCAGCAAAGATATGAGGGAAGACAGATGGCCAAATGAAAGAAACCACTGTCACCCGAATAGGAAAACTGTAAACTCAGTTACACGCAACTTAAGGCAGGAGTCCAGACAGTCTGCATTTATTCTAAGATAAATTTACCACAGAAAGGGTTTAACTTGAGGACAAAATGTCCTTCTTGACGAAACATTGTCAAAAGTGAACTCAGCCCATGGGCTACCCTTACTTGCCAATATAGCCTTCTTTTCAGAAATGAAAACAGCAATGTGTGAGTTAGTAAAAAAAAATATTTGGGGAAAATGTAAGTAACAAGATGGAACAAGGCCAAGAGACCTTTACTTTCCTTTAAAAAGAATTAAAAAGCATTTTAAGAAGTTACTGACTTCTTAACTGCAATACAAAACATGGAAAAACCTAATGGGATTGATTCTTGAGCAAATGCATGGGATTTTGGGATCTCACCCTGAGATAGAGCTATTGGCAGCTTGGGCCGAATCAGGGCTGATATTGAGGGTCACCTTCACTGTGACCAAATTGAAGTAGTCCACGTAACGGAACTGCAGGACGATGGTGGAACCATCGGGAAGGACGATGCTCAGGCTCACACTGAGAGGGTGGTGCGCCAGGGCTCGCTTCCTCCTCTCCTCGTCCCGCTCTGCCTCATTCCTTCGCTTCTTGTGGCGCTTCTTCCTTGTCTCCTGAATTCCGATCATACGTTGGCAGTCAAAACGCAAGGCAAGCCAGGAAGCTTCTATGCCAATGAGACAACAGAGGTTGCTTAACATGAAAAATGAATCAGACCTACCTCGCCCTCAGCCTCTGAATCAGAGTCATCACGCAGCTGGTTGTGGGAATGGGTTAAAGTCTTGGCTTCCTCCTCATTCCCATGGATCACAGCTACCACCTTCTTGTCTGAAAAAATAGAGATTTTTAAAGGTATTATCAGTCAAAGAAATTAGGGAACATTGTGAGAGCTCATGATATTAGAGGAAAGCATCCTCGTCATATGAGCGGTAGTCCTATGCATAGAAACAAGTGAAGCAGGCTGTAAAGAGGAAAAATATGGCAATAACACATTTAGCAAATAGATGTTTTCAGCTCATTACGACATCAGAAGCTAAAACTCAGGGCCAAAACCTACTGAGTTATTCATGAAATGTTCCATGACAACAGAACTTTGGTACCGACATTGCATGACTTCACCAAGGACTACAACATAATTTCAAGTGTCAATTTAAAAAAAGCTAATGTGTGTATAAATATTTTAGGATGGGGAGACAGAACAAGGCCAACTCACCAAAGGCATCAACATATGCACAGGCCTGAACATATAAGATGTAGAGGGGAGAGGGGAGATAATACGCTTTGTGCTGGAGTTCCCGAATGTGGCCGGAGGGGAGTGAGAAAGCTTCCAGAAGTGGATTGCACGCCTGGATAAAATAAAATACAAATGCATATAGTACCAGTATAATAGTCATATGACCTCTGCAAGGTAGACCTTTTTTTTTCTTTCATGCACTGCCTATCAAAACAAAAATTATTATTTGCTAAAGACTAGAGATATTTTCCTGGTTTAGATACCATGACTGATGTAACAAGTTCATTTCTGGAATGCATACTAGAATTTTACAATGTAGAACCTTTATAACTTGAAGATTCTTATCAAAACCATACTTAAAAGTGCCTGTGTGAAAAGAGTAGGTCAATTCAATGAAACACATGCACTCGTGTATGCAATTTCCCTCAAGAATATATACAGAGCTTCCCATTCTACATTCACAACAAAACTATTTTTCTTTGACAATGACAAAAAAGAAAAGCATGTGTCCATGGAGAGAAAGAAAGCTAGATGAGGAGATCATATGGTTAAGTTCTATGACTTGGGCGATAATCCAACAACTTTGGAATATTTTTCATGCAAAAAAATTTTATACAAGTCTTACTCATCACTTCTTTGAACGCACAAAACTCAAAACACAAAACGCAAAAACCCTTTGGTCAATCAAAAAAAGTCACTCTAATGAACTTACAGTGACAACTAAAAACTGTTCAGGGACCTGTCACAAAAGGTGGACACCCTTAGACTATAGTACTAGTGACTGCATTGGGGACAATTTGTCTCAAACTCTACACATAGAAAAGAAATACAGAGTCAGACAATTCTCATGATATTTAGAGAGTGGGTTGCCTATCCTACCTGCAAGATGGAAGCAAGCATGGGTTCCAGGTTGCGGAGGGTGGCCTGCTTGCGCTGGATCTCCATCAGCTGGACCTCCTTGGCGGCCTTCACCTGCTGGCAGTCCCGAGCCAGTCGCTTCCGCTCCTCCAGCTCCCATCCGAGCCGTGCCAGGCGAAGGAGGTGTGCGTCTGAGCCGATCTTTGCCTGGGGTAGCACATAGACACACTTCGTCCCTTTCCCTTCCTTCCTTTTCCCCGACACATTCCCCCCTTCACATCGTTTCCCACACATTCCCAAGACCTTCCAAATGGTATTAGAAGAGTTCACAAGGGAATAAAACTGGTGGAGTTAGGAGTCAATGAGATGAATTACGTGTATCAGATGAGCAGCATTTTGGTGAAAGATGAATTTAAAATTTAAACAGGTATTCCTATGATGTCAAGTGACCAAACATGTAATATCATCAGGAAATTTGAAATTCAGTGGTTGGCTGCTCCCAATCTAAGACTGTCACCTTCTGCAAAGCTAACACCAGTCTTAAAATTTCCCATTATGGTTTTCAAGTCCTTCAATCAGAAAAACTTCATTAAAAAATGTTGTTTCAGTGTCAAGGGTACTCTTTGCCACATGTGAGACCAAGATAGTCCATCATTCCTGGCATCCAAAAATAGGCAGGAGTTGCAAAAAGAAGACAAGAAGGAATGGAAGAGATGTGAAGGTAGGACATTCATGTGACTGAGTGCACCAATTGAGACCAAACTGTCCGCACAAGAAAATCCAAAACATTGAGCCATTGCTTTTTGAGAGAACACACTGAAAAAATACAAGTCTTCATCACTGCAGAGAGTCTAAGATTGACTCAGTCTTAACAGCCAGGCCAAAACTGAATCAAGTCACAACATGTATCACTACATCCACAGTACTGGCAAATGTCAGATAAAACAGCTTCAGTGCAAAAATAAAGCCCCTTTGGCTTAGGAAGATGGTCAAGTTTTGCACTTTTCTCTCTGAGAATGCCATGCTCACCACTAGCAAATATTTTCACATGAACTTTTTGAGTTTAGCCAGTGTCAAGCCTGAATTAGTTAGTGCACATTCAGTTCATACATGTTCAAATTCACACATTTGTCAGTGACACATACATAGCAAAAAACTAAGGTGGATAGAAGGTATATTCTGACAAATGCAATGAATTTTGAAATGCTTAGCTCATTGCAACCTTTGCCTTCGATTCTTGCCAACATTTCAAAGTTCACCCTTAGTGACTTGACTGTACAATTATACATGATGATTTCTTAAGATTTAAGCTCACAGAATTAAAAGAGTACAACTGATGCACATTTGATGCAGCCTTTCCATATAAAGGTAAGCCACCTGAGGAAACTCAATGAATTTGGTGGCAAAACCAGGAGAAATGCATCATGACATGAGCACCAGAAGAGAATTGCTTATCATAATTATAATAAATATTTTGGGAGAAGCACATATAAGGCTTGTCTCATTCAATGCTTCCACTTTCCTGCATTTATGAGATATTACAATATAACTACTGAAGCGATCATTTTTAGAGTTTACGACTTTGCCATGTCATCTGACTGCGCCTGTGCAAAGAGCTACAACTTTGCATGAACCATTGCTGCTGGAGCACAAATGTGCACAAAAATTGCACCACATGGCATCACAAATTATCTGCCTGATCCAAAATCCCACCATGCTTTCATATATAATGACTTGTGGATAATAATAAAAATAAAAGATAATGCATTCAACCTTTGGTAGCAGCATTAGTGGATTAACTTCTCTCAAGATGGGCTCTCTCTCTCTCTCTCTCCCCTTCCATCCTTCCTGTGGATCCTGCACGCTATGGTTCATTTGTTGCAAGTCCAGACCATGACAGTCGTCACTGCAGTTCAGGGTCATCGAATCACCACAACCACACTCTACTTCCCACTTGATGTCTCCAAAGAAACACCACGTGTTCACACTAGGATTCCACACCTCGGTGCAATACACCGAGTCCTCCCATTTCCAAAAGGCATTGATAGGGTCTGTCCTTACACCCTCCAAGATGAGAAACGTTATTCCTCGAAACCCTTGACCCAGCACCACCCAAGAGACCTCACCCCTCTGCTTTAACTGGCACTTGTGTCCAACATATCAAGAGTGTCATCCAGGTCCAAGGAGCATTTGACTTGGGCTGCAATCTCTCTGGTAACTATAAAGTCTTTTTGTTTGACATTATTTTGCTTCAGTACTTGCTGGCAGTAGGTAATACAGCATTAAATTCAGCCTTTTTGAAGGGTATTCCTGCCTCTCCACTTTCAGGTCCACTGAACAATCTTGAGGGTTTTCTGCATAACTATCTCTTTATGAAATGTTACCAGAGCATAGCAGAGCAAGTTTCATTCTTGTTTCCATCCAAGATTTATTGCATGCAAAGTAACTTTTCTTGCATTATCTCCCTCAGCAGTTGACCATTGCAAATATTATTGAAGAAATGAGGATAATTGCTGGAGGATCAATTTGGACTGTCACATAGTATCTCTTTCACAAGGTGACCAGGGCATGATCAATGACAAAGGCACCATGCTTCAGCAAATTCAAATCCATAAAGCCATAGTTTGTGTTGCGTTCATTTCTTTTGATTCTCAAAGAAGCTGTGTGCGTGTAGTTCAGGTAGGTTTGGTTTCTGGCTGGCCATGTTTCCTAGATGGATAAAGTTGTTTTCCTTCATTGAAGGTTGTGGTTTAATGCCTGTCCTGGACTTCATGGACCTTTCATAGTTCCCTTTTGACTACTCAAGTAGTCAAGGTTCAAAATGGTCTCTTCAACCATTTCAGTAATGCAGTAATATCTCAACATCTGTTCCTCCACATGCTTATCCCATTGTTTTTTCCAATTCTTAATCATCAGCTAAAAGCACCTCCATCTAACTTTCAGACCATTCCAATATGCTTTTGAAGTTTCCATCTCTTGCAAAACAATGCTGATGCAACTTTCTGAGTACATAGAGTGTTGTGCCATGCTCTCATTAGATACAGAAACCTCACTTTCAGTTGCACAAATAGCATTGGTCTTATGAAAAATTTAAATTCACGATGGGGTTCCCAAGCATAGCATGAATCACTTTCAGGTCTCAATGGCCATTAAGGTGATTGCCTGTTTTTCAACATGCCTTGATGTATGCCTTCTGCAAAGCATTCTGAGTCAAGTCTTCCTTCAAGTAATTATCCAACATGTGACGATTGAACTTTCCTAGTGCAAAATTGGCCCAAACAGTGAGAATATTTTTCTCTCCAAACAGTATCCCTCCCTTCACACCCACCCATGAAGATCTTCAACTGCACTATGACCAAAACTTCAAAACATCTCCAACTCAGGTATCTCCAATTCAGGAAGGACGATGAGCCGGGATGAAAATTCCCCAAGAGAAGTTGTGATGTGTTTTTGCTGCATGTTGTTCTTCCGTGGAGATGACAGGACCCCACGCAGGGAAGATGGTGACGTTCGTGGTGGTTGGAGTTACCGCGTTGACATGCGCGAAGAGTAGGAAAGACATGGAAAGGTTTAGGAGAATTCCACTTACGGCATCATACAACTCAGCTGGTGCTTCCTTGAAGAACTCATCCTCGGGCACTAAGTCAATCGCTTCATCTTGGGACCTGCAGAAAGCATTCTGCATTAGAGTGACATGATATTCAGCTAATTTTAACAATGCAAATCCCTGACCAGCAGACCATAAGATCATGAAGTATTTTTGTGTAGCTTAACATTTAGTTTGAGTCCTCAAAATGACAAAAGCAAGCATTCCACACAGTGCCTGAAATTATTTCCAAAAAACCATGACATTCCTAGTCTACATTACAAATATATATCATAGGTAACTTTGTAAGTTAATGGAATGACCATTTCTTTCGTGGCTCGGACACTATTCCTCCTCCCCACACAATACACAATGACCAACCCCACCTGAAGTTGAGGCACTTCTGGACCTCCTTTTGCAAGTGCTGGAGTTCATAGAGAAGATTTTGCAGCTGGAGATGAAGTCCATCAACCTGCTTCTTGGCATCCAGGGTCTGGTTGCGGGACAGCTTCACGTGGTACTTCTCCAGTCGGTTTAGCTTCTTAAGGAAGGTGGAGCCCATCACGATCCGCTTTCGACACCCATCCAGTGCTGCCTGTTGCAATAAAAAAACAAAAAAGTTTAATCTCAAGCTAGAATAAAGATTCCCAAGATTTAATGATGGTCCCTTGGGCCTACTTTTACCTTGTCCTTTGAATCCTTATCAGGTTTCAACTTAAGGTCCAGAGCCTCCTTGAGGGTGGAGAGGATGTCTGCACAGGTCTCCTGATGTAAAGTCTTGGCATCACCTCCAGAGAGTACTTCTGCTTCATTTTCTTCCTTTGTGATTACTTCCTATCATAAAAAAAAACACATTTGATCAACCCTCTGTTGATCTTTGACAGAAGCCAGCAATTCCAAGAGCAATAAATGGACTTTCCCAAAGAGCCAAACAAAGAAACAGTACAACAATCCTCACCTCCTTTGAAAATCAGTTATAATGGTGTCATTTTGATACTACGGAACTTTTCTTCAAACCGTCAAGATGCATCTCATTGTCCATTTCGCAGATCTTTACATCCAAAACCAATTTTTTTAATGAATCTAAAAAAGCCTACAGTCAAAGAAAGGCAACTACAGTGTATTTTTGTGGCTTTTTATGCAAGTCCATCATAGCCATTGAGCCAAATGCAAAAAAAACAGTTAACATACAAGGCATCATGCACAGATGTACTTACATTCAAGCTAACATTCACATTCCATTGATATGCTGCACATAAAACTACATGAAGTTAGAACATGAAAACTCTCACCATCTATGTTCAATATATGAAGCTATGGAGTTAAGCTTTATATGCCTGAGATGTCCACTTATAAACATGAATCAAATGCTTGATCTTGCATTCAAATGTGGATCTTGACCATTGAGAATAATACAGGACCGTTTCATCAGGCATGCACAAGACACTAAGCACACCAAGTATCCTGTCATCAGGTAACATCGTACCATACTTTTCCATATGGAAGGCCTTGATTTTCTATAGATGGTCAATCTTGCAGCCTATGACACTTAGAAATAAAAAAGGAATAAACTAATAGACACAACTCACATGGTAGAAATCGCCAGGGGACTGCTTCTTTGGAGACATGCCACCATCCAAGGCCCTCTTCTTGGGTGGTGAAAGGTGATCATTTGACGCGGGGGGCTCGTCTCTCTTCACCTTCTTCATTTCTCTCACTGCCGGAGAATTAACGGAGTCGTTTTCTGGGCGAGGCTTTTTGTCCCGCTCTTTCCCCCGCGACTTTGATTCAACAGTTTTCATGATTATAGTTCACTTGAGAGACACAAATATATAGTTATATTAGAAATAAAATATCACTCCATAAGCAAAATCACCTGAAATTGATGAAATATAACTTAATCAGTCTGTTTTTGATTTAGTAGACTTATGATAGGCTTCATGAGCTGAACTAGGCCTAAATGGAAGACTTTGTTCACATAGGTTGCCAAAACATTGGAGTATTTGTAAGGAATGAGACTTTATCAGGCTCTTAAAAATGCACTTCCTGCTGTGTTCCACAAGGCACAGCCAGATAAGCTTCTGTGAGGGGGTGGAAACACTTTCATGGTGCCATAATAGGGTAACAGTCAGGGCCAATGAAACACCAGGAATGAACAAGTGACCATGAAGAGCTAGATAGTACATACCACAGCATGCAACAAGATTAGATAAGCTCATGGAAGAGACTGAACTAGAAACAGGGGCACTCATGTCCTGAGGTAGACCCAATGTGTAAGCCCAGTCATAACTGTTATGCATTATTTGTCCACTCTTGCACACACAAAAAAAAGAGTGAAACTGTCCAGCATCGATAACTACAACTTACCGTTCACAATTCACATCAAGGTCAATAAAACTTATTGATATTCCATCCTGAGAAGGCATGAGATCAGGGAAAACATTCTTCCATTACAGATACTAACTTCATACCCAAACTTCTCAGGCCTATATAACATTATAAATGTGTCGTTTCAGAGCATCCTGGTTTGACCACCTCTTGCTTATAATAAAACTACAGCCCCACCCCCAAGAGACCAAGAATGACCCTAAATACCAATTAAAAACACTGCTTTTGGATTGAATTTGCACGCCTAACCAACCCCAGACCCAACCTAACCTGAGCTGCGGAAAACGGAGATAACAATACTTTCAAAGGATCCGCTTCCGTGGGCGAAGCCCCTAGGCGAATCCGCGGAAGATGTGCCTACAATCGATGAAAGGTCTCCGATGGGATGGGGATACGAATTTCACTCCGAAAACAGGTCGCAGATACGAAAAGACACCCTTAAATGTCACTCGCTCGCGTCTCAACTTCCACCCCTCCTCCCTGTGCCTCCTACCCCTTTGACTTCTCAGAAACGAGCCACCAAAACTCCCTGGGCCTAAAGACATTTTTCAGTCTCCCTACACGTCGGCCATGGTCCTGGGCTTTCAAACGACGATCCAGTATTGTTCTGTCGAATGGCAACGCCTAGGCTTATCAGATTGGCTGAAAATCACATATTACTGCCCATGCAAGATTACTGGGCTCCTGGTATAGACACGTTGTAAAAAAAAGGCTCATACATTAGGCTTAGCCATTTCCTTTCTCTCGTACACAGATGGGACAATACATTTTCTCCCGGCGGTGGCCACTATTTCCTCCTAGATGACACGAATTCAAAGGCGGACATGACAGACCGAGAATCCATCAGGGCTGCCCTCGGAATCACTTCCATCTAGTTCTTCTTTAGCATTCGACATTCAGATCTTAAGCCAGAATTTGAAGTCAATGGAATTTTTTATATTTAATATTGAATTAAAAAAATTAAAGAAAACTTTTCGGTGCAAAACGTTTAGATAATCCAATGGTGAGTGAGAGACTTTCAATTAGGTTCTGGCAACCCTTTTCCTTTTTCATGGCTCCGCGCGGAGGCTGCTGTTCGTGCTTTGGCTTAGCTGTGATCATAACCATGTGTATTACGTAGACGATTGATTTTTAGGATTAGGACGTGGGTTGTGCTCCTTCTCTCCCATTTGCGATAGTGTCTTGATTTTGAGTTCGAGAGATTTTCTTTTGACCGGGAAATAACTTGATTTGCGATTCTTGCATGCATCCCGTAGGTTTAAGATTGAGTCGGGCCGATTAACTCTCTTGGATTATTGTTGGAGGCAAGGAAAGCCACTCCTCCGATGAAAAAAATAATGTGACTCAATTGGAAAGCACTGTAGGCTAGCCCTGGGCCTCTTCTGGTGGGAGTCAGATTAGCCTAGTCAGGAACTCGATATGCTGCCGAAACATGATAGGATTATATTGTATCCGATCCCGACGAGATTGGGTTAGGGCATTTTGCCGATGAATGAAAAGATAATGAAGATTCATGGACTTTGGATTGGGTCGATGAATCTCCATTATCTCAACCAATAATAACCTAGCAATAGAATATAAGTTTGGGTTCAGTTTCCACGTTTTCAATTAAATATGAATCCATAAAAGAGTTTCTTTCAAATTAGGACAGAGCTAGGTCTATTGTTATGACTTTGGACAGCAATTTCCACTACATCAGCTCAAAAGGTTGAAGTCAGCCCAGCTGCATGATAGTAGCTTCCAGGAAACTTTAGATAAGACTTATCTTATGACATCAGACATCAGGTGTCTTCAAGTCATATGCCACAACTTGAATTTGCCTAGTTACATTTTATTCACCTGTGCTGTGTGCTCAGCATTTTCTCCAGTCCTGAATCCAGGAAAAACCATAAAAGAAGGCAAGATATCCTCCAGTGTTGTAATAGATAATATTGCCACTTCAATGACATCAGTACGTTCAGTCTTCAACTATTTTTTCCTAATGTCTTGGCAATGGTTTGCCACAATTTGCTCCTTGGAAAGAAAAATCAGGTACCTAAAAGCTCAAAAGATCATCACAGAAGTTCAGTTTTTTGTAGTCATGCTGGAAGGCTATAACTGGAATTTGCAATTTCTCCTGTCATTCACAAGAAGTTGTGTTTGTCTTGTCATTCGTCCAATCCTCTTGTCGCAAGAGACATTCCCAAAACATTATGAAGGAAGGTACTTGTCTTCCCAGCAAAATCCAATGAACAGTGGTAGAAGTCAAATGATGATCTTCAGCCAAAGATTTTCCTACTTTTCTTTTCCAGCAGTCACTTGGGAATATTACATTAAAGAATGCAGTTTCAGAGATTGTTGGAAAAGCTGAATGCTTCTCCTAAAATACAATTAGTATTCTAATCCCCATCCATATGGATTTCCATAATTTGGTGGCGGCTGAAAGGCAGAAGGAGAATGGGGATGAAATTAGAAGTTCTCTTTAATGTCAATTCATTCAACCTCAAAGGAGCTGATATGATTAGTAATTCTTACCAGGAAGCTGCCATTTCTCTCTTCAAAAATCTATTCCTCTTGCTTTCTTGCCCTTTGAAGTACTTCCTGGGATTCTTTAGAATGTTTTCCAGTCAACTGCCATAGATATTTTTGTCACTTGTCAATTTCCGTTTTTTCTGGGTAACTTTTTTGAATATTTTTCAATTTATTCTATGGTTCTGGGCACTTAAAAGTATGTTATAAAGCAGTGATGCACAACCCTTGGGCCATGGGCTGCATGCATTGCTTTGCAGCCCTTAGGATACCTCTGGTCTCTAAAGATCCATATCAATCCTTTCAGACCTGAATTAAGGCTGCTATCGGGATAATATACTTTTTTGCATTTTTAAGCTTCTCTGTGATTGTAATTGAAATTTTCATGCTTTATATATAGTTTTCATAATTTGTATAAATTTATCATATCATACCATTTATTATATATGAAACATTTATTTAAATAACTGAAGATTACAAAACTAATGGATGAAAGAAGGCCTCTGACAGAACTGAGCAATGCATAATTGCACCCTTTGTAGCATAATATGGAGTGCAAAGTCATGAGAATCCTAAGAAATTGCCATAGACACAATGTAAATGCAATGTCCAATTGGAACATATGCCAGGTCTGAAAGGGTTAATTTGCGACTGATTTCAGTTCATATTCAAGAGCTGCAGGCCCTCAAACCCCTCGAACATGAGACAAAGTCTCAATTTGGCCCTCTAGGGTGAAAAGGTTGTGCACCACTGTATAAAGCGACTGATAAGTCTGGAAACATAGGAGTAAAATTAAATGTATGTTGTGAAAACGAAGTGGCTCAGCTTTTGCTATTACCTCCTGCCGGGAGTGGGTGGGAAGGGGGGGGGGGGGGGGAGAATAACTTTCAGGCACCCCATGCTCTCTTCCAGGAGTTAAGAGCTCAGTAAAAGTGGTTTTCAAAATGTCAGGCTTCAAGAGACCTGAAAGTTTCCTTGGGCTGTATCAGAGTGAGGCAAAGCTTATTAAAAGTTGAGGAACTGAAATAAGGTTGTGTTCTTCCTTCATTGGGGCAGAGGGAAAATGTGGAGAAGCTAGTTGAAATGTAGAATGTTAGAAGTGGAACGCTAATTTTGTGCCTGTGAAACTATTAAAAATAAATTCAGGAAGTTTCTTCTAGTTTAAAAGAAGGCTTTAATGTTATTGTCAACTAAGAAATTTCCATACTTTTATCATATGAAAACTCCATGGTAATGGGTTACCTGAATGTCTATGGTGAGAATTTTCTTTGAATCAATTGTCATGGTCTGGAGAAAATATATTTTTAACCTTTGTTTTTCAACCAGTGGAAAATCTTGCATTTCAATATTGGACTATTCCTAATAAACCTTATGAACAAAATCACATGCTGACCAGGCAAGAAATGAATAATCACCCTTTTGGGAATAAAAAATAAATAAAGAAAAAAAGTATTTACCAGGCAAAATAGTTTGCTATTACAACCATCTAACCATGACTTAGAACATTTGTTTATTAGTAAATCCAGCAACGCCCATGGTGAATTCAAATGCTAGAAAAGCCACAATGGTATCTGTCTTTTATGACACTCCTGATTCTATATCTTTTCAGTCTCCCATTTTTTTATTACTCTTGAATATTTAGTTATGAATGGGCTCTGAGACGAAAGTGGCAGCTGGCATGAAGGATAAAGAAGAACAAACCCCCACAGATGACAAGGAAGAACCTGAGAGCAAGGGCAAAACCTCCGATAAATCCCCCTCTCCGAAAGACGAGGAAGATATTAATGATTCTGCTGATTTAAAAGCACAAAAGAGTGAAGGGGAAGAGAAGGATAAGGAGAATGACAAGGAAAATGAGACTGTTCAGCCTAGTGACACATACTGGAACAAGTATGCTGACAAATTAGGCATTGATGCCCAGGGTGAGAGGCATCAGCGAAAGGGCAAGGACCGACATGGTCACAGCAACCGTGATCGGAAAAGAAGACACGAAGAAGAGTCTCCAAACCATGAACAGAGACATGAAGATTCTCGGCACCGTGAGAAACGGCGATACAGGGAATCTCCACGCCGTGACCGACGCAACGATCAAGGCTCTTCGCATCGTGAGAGAAGACGGGATCGTGATGCAACTGAAAATAAAGGTGCAGAGGAAGAACAGAGACAAAGTCATCGCCAACGTGATCGAGATAGCTCACACCGTGACAGGAAGAACCGTGAACGGGAGAGGAGGGAAAATGACAAGCACAGATCTGAGAAAGAACAGGATCCTCCAGAGCATGTCAGAAACAACAGGGATCACAGTGGGAGGGATAATAAAGGAAGACACAGGAGAGATGAACCAGATGCCATGAGTAGGAAGAGGAGAGAGGATGAGGACAGGGCTTATGGAAATACTACCAAAGAGAAAAGTGATTCAGGTAGAGGAATCGTCAACTATGGAGACTTGGAAAGAGAAGAGAGTGAGGAAGTCCGAACGAGAGACAGGCAAAAACGGAGACAAGGTGAATCGAGCGATGATGCTCCATCCAAGAAATCCCGTGCTGATGACCCCAAGAGTCAGGAGGCAAAGAAAACCGATGATCCCATCATGACTCGAACTGGTGGAGCTTACATTCCTCCGGCTAGGCTTCGCATGATGCAGGCACAGATTGCAGATAAATCAAGTGAAGCCTTTCAGCGTCTTGCATGGGAGGCATTGAAGAAGTCAATCCATGGTCTCATCAACAAGGTGAATGCATCCAACATTGCCGTGATCGTGCGTGAGATCTTCAAGGAGAACATCGTGAGGGGTCGAGGCCTCCTCTGCAGGGACCTGATGCAGGCACAGTCATTCTCTCCTACCTTCACTCCTGTTTATGCATCTCTGGTGTCCATCATCAACACCAAGTTTCCCAACATCGTCGAGCTGCTTATCCGTCGCCTCATCATCCAGTTCCGGCGTAGCTTCAAACGCAATGACAAGAATGGTTGTCTCTCCTCGACCAGATTTATTGCCCATCTTGTCAATCACCAGATCTGCCATGAGATCCTGGCATTGGAAATCCTCACCCTCCTGTTGGAGAGTCCAACTGAAGATGCTGTGGAAGTTGCCATCGGTCTCCTTCGTGAGTGTGGGATGAAGCTGACAGAGGTCTCGCCACGAGGCATTGCTGCCATATTTGACAGGCTGCGAAGTGTCCTCCATGAGAGCCAGCTGGATAAAAGAGTGCAGTACATGATTGAAGTGATGTTCCAGGTCCGCAAAGAGGGCTTCAAGGACCACCCAGCCATTCCAGAAGAACTTGATCTTGTTGAAGAAGATGATCAATTTACTCACACCATCCTCCTTGATGATGCCACAAATGGTGAAGAAATCCTCAATGTTTTCAAGGTCGATCCAGAGTATCAGGAGAACGAAGAGAAGTATAAGAGCCTTCGCCATGAAATCTTGGATGAAGATGATGAAGGAAGTGGGGAAGATGAGGGCGGCACCAGTGGTGACGAGAGTGACGATGAGGACGAATCCGATTCTGAGGAGAAGCAGACCATCGTGGACAACACCGAGACGAATCTAGTTGCACTGCGACGCACTATCTATCTCACTATCCAGTCCAGTCTCGACTTTGAAGAAGCGGCACACAAGCTGACCAGGCTGGAACTGAAGCCCGGTCAAGAAGTTGAGATGTGTCACATGATCCTGGACTGCTGCGCTCAGCAGCGGACATACGAGAAATTCTTTGGCCTTCTGGCACAGCGCTTCTGCCAGATCAACAAGATTTATGTTGACCCGTTTGAAAGGATATTCCATGATGCGTATGACACTTGCCACCGTTTTGACACCAACAAGCTCCGCAACGTGTCCCGCTTCTTCGCCCATCTCCTTTTCACAGATGCCATTCAGTGGATGGTGCTATGCAATATCAGGCTGAACGAAGAGGACACCACCAGCTCCAGCCGCATCTTCATCAAACTTCTCTTCCAGGAACTTGCCGAATACATGGGATTGGGGAAGCTCAATGAGCGCATCAAGGACCCCACCTTGCAGCCAGCATTTGAGGGCCTCTTCCCACGCGACAACCCACAAAACACCCGCTTTGCAATCAATTTCTTCACTTCGATTGGCCTCGGAGGCCTCACAGATGACCTGAGAGAACACCTGGCAAAACGACCCAAGCCAACAGCTGTTGTCATTCCTCAGATTCAGGCTCTGGTGACTGAGCCAGAAAAGAAGCAGGAAAAAGAGCCAAGCAGTAGTTCAAGTAGCAGCAGCAGTAGCTCTAGCAGTGACAGCTCCTCGAGTGAAGAATCAGAAGATGAGGAGGAACTGAAGAAGAAGAAAAAGAGGAAGAAGAAAAAGGGTAAGGAAGCAGGGAAGAGCAAGAAGAGGAAGAAGTCAGCCACCAAGAAAAAGAAAAAACAAGCCTGATCTTTTTGTTGTGGACAATTTTTTTTTTTTTTTTGCTTTTTGCTCTTTTACTTTCAATGAATGAATTATGTTGATAAGTTATTCTACACTTCATTTTGTAGGCTTCTGTCACTGCCAAATTTTATCATAATCATTGCTTTAAAGTTAGTATGGTGCACTTTTGGAGTCTTTAGCTGAATCCTGGTACCTGACTGAAGCAAGGGCTTGCCAGGTTCTACAATTGCTTAAATTGCCAGTTCAAGTGGATATCAGTTCAAATTGAGAGACAGATATTGTTTCATTTGCAAATGTACAGAATGTGTACAGGATTGTATTGCCTGCATGAGGAGTGAAGAGAGGGGTAACACTGCTTCATGTAAAATGTACACTTTTCAGTTCCAAGCACAAAAAGCCTTTCACTTTAAATGGAGGAGAAATTCTTTTCCAAGGCAGTGTCTTATGTGTTGGTTTTTTTCATGACATAATTTCTTTTGGTGAGAACATGCAAACTTTCATATTTTCAAGGATAACTCTCATTTACCACTGCTTTTGCCAACTCCATGTTGAACTGACATTAATGCAAGAATTTTTTCTGGATTATGCAAAAGGGGGATAATGTTGTTTCCCTAGCTATGCTCAAGTACACAAGAAACCTAATCACCAAATTAATACTCATTACTGGAGTCATTTACTAGCAATTTCCCATACAATGATCCACTGGAAAAATTCAGTATTTTTACATGCACTATCAGCCATGAGGAGCAGGATCTTCATCTTGCTTCCTCCGCATGTGTCGATCATGGCCCAACTTTGTTTATACCATTTATTTATTATTTGGTTTTCAGGTAATGATTGCAAAGACAAATATGAAATATATGAATTTTCCTTAATTTAAAAGTATTAGTAATACTGAAAGCTTATTAGGGTCCAATCTGGTTACTGAAAGCTCCCATGACTGGTGAGACTGAGGTGGCCACTGCTCCTAACTTGTTCTCTGATGGACTCCTCATTCTTTGGACTGTGAAAAATTAAATCTTACCCTTAGAAGGAACAAGCCTAATTTTGTGATAACATTTGAAATGTTGCTACTGTCAGAGTGCATTTTTCTGCCTGTCCAAAGGTGTTCTAAAGAATGGAAGCATGATATGTTGTTGTGATTGAGCTTTATCCTAAGATCAGTGTGAAACTAAGAGAAAAATATGGATTTTTATGTGAACCCAAAGACTTGACAGACACATGACATGAAGCTCAGGTGATGAATGCTCAGGATGAGTGATAGGAAGGTGAAAGCAGGGACAGAGACAGAGGGCAAGCAAAGGAGATCAGACGGGGATGCCTTCTGGCTCATCAAACTGCAGCACGTCCAGCAGCGGCTGCACTGGGACTGCGGGCTCGCCTGCGTCGCAATGGTCCTCCCCGACGACAAGCGGGACCAGTTCCTTGCGAACCTTCCTGCCATCTGCCATGAGGAAGGATTTGGGGAGAGGTATGCCAACCATCTTGTGCATGGTGTTTTAAAACTTTTTAGCATTAAATTGAATTTTTATTTTAGACGAGAACCAGTCTTTTGTGTCTTGATACATCTTTTGAGACTCGGGTCTCCTTGTGACTTTGAGCATGATATGATTTAAATTGGACAAAACTCTCAAGCAATGAAATTGAATGGCACTATTAGGAATGGCAAGCATGCTGGAGGAAGTGAGATCTGTTGCTCCAATTTTGCTACATTATGAATTTGGTATATACCCACTTGAAGATGTCCAGAAGATAGGGAAAATAGATGCATTATATGTGAAGTGTGTGAAGCATTATGCATGCAATAAATAAAAAAGCATGACTAATTAAACCAGGCATTATTCCCAGTTCAGTTTTTTGGAAGCAAGGACTCAGGATCTGCTATGTGTTGAAGTTCACTTTCTTGATATCTTCTGCACATTGTGTGTGAAAGGATGTTTGTGTTCATGGTCAATATACAGTACTGGAAATGTTGGTTGTAGGACCAGGAAATACCAGTCACCTTGAGTTAATTTCATTTCTCTAAGACTTCCTTTTTTTTCTTTCCACAATTGTTTATTTTCATCCAGAAATGGAAGAAAACTGAATCTGAATGGAATAAAATCAACCTCAGCTCCTAGAACAAGAATTGATTTTTTGCTGCAAAGTTTTTAATGGAAGAGTAAAAGAGAACTTTGCCTTAATGAATGTTGAACTTTGACTTGCAGCACATGGAGCATCGACTTGGCATACTTGCTGAGTCGCGTATCGGTCCCTCACGTCTACTGTACCATAACGTTTGGTGTGAACCCTGGACATTCGCGGGAAGCCTTCTATGACCGCATCATTGGCAAGGTCAGAACCCTCCCTAATGAATTAAACATTTCATAGTTTTTGTGAGCATTCTTAACTAATACTCTGGGTGCTCTAATAGCGCTCCAAATAGATAAATTTTTTTATTATAGAGCATGAAACAATTGATGCATGACTCGTGCCTTTTTGGGGGGGGGGGGGGGGAAGTAGCATATGAGGGAAGCTGATTAAATTGATCCCATTCATTCCAAAACCAGAGAGCTTGGCTCTGACCTTACTGCTTAAGGAGGCACATTCTAAATGAGTCTCATTTGCTTCTTCAAGTTTGTTGCATTGAAAGTGGAAGAGAATTTTGTGCAGGTGGCATTTTATCCACTGCTTCTCTTGTTATATAATCACATTTCTGTTTTATCTTGGTGATAATAACAATCAAACTAAACTTGGTAGGAGATTAATATCTGACTCTGTTTCCAGGATAGGCATCGAGTGACCATGCGCTTCGAGCAGGCGGCAGCCCGTGGCGTGAAGGTGGAGCAGCGGGAAGTATCCCTGGAGGAGATTCTCTCCCACTTGCGCTACAGGGGTCCCGTGATCCTCCTCACGGATGCCAACCGCCTCCTCTGCACCCGCTGCACCTACAACCGCATCTCCCTCGATGCTGCTGCCTGTTGCCCCTTCCGCTGCCCCTATCAAGGTCTGGCAGTTGTACTACTGTACTTGAAAGAAGAAGTTTGTCATGTTCATGTTTGACTCATTCTTTTCTCTAGGTCATTACATAGTGGCATGTGGATACAGCCTTACCCAACAGAGGGTGTTCTACCGGAATCCCTCCTTGGGGGACCGTAAGTTCAACCCTTCTTAGCAATTGTACAAAGGCACTGTATGTCATCCACAATAACATTAATTATAGATTCAAAAGATACCTAAATTTAAAATCCATGGTTTTCATGCAATGTTTCTTAAAAATGCTAGAAGATGTATATGTAAAATAGCTCTGGTTTGTCCTGCTGCTTTATTCAATGTGGAGATGTATTGATCCATTGCAAACCTTCAGTATCAACTTGATTGCTAATGTAACATCTTAAATGCCATTTACTGCTTCCAGGTATCCGTGAAGCTAGTCTCAATGGTAAAATGAAAAATCCACCCCTTCATCCACCCCTTACTCGAGGCCAACGGCCGTTAGCAGCAGTGACATTCGTCCCCCTGCTGCTAACGGCCGTTGAGTTCGAAATAACGAGTCGTCATCGTGTCTTCATTGCACGGCTTATGGTTTTCATGCAATGTTTCTTAAAAATGCTAGAAGATGTATATGTAAAATAGCTCTGGTTTGTCCTGCTGCTTTATTCAATGTGGAGATGTATTGATCCATTGCAAACCTTCAGTATCAACTTGACTGCTAATGTAACATCTTAAATGCCATTTACTGCTTCCAGGTATCCGTAAAGCTAGTCTCAATGGTAAAATGAAAAATCCAAGGAAGAAAATAAGCTGGGCAAAATTTAATCTCTTGGGAATCCTCCTTTGAGTACACAGTTATGCTTCATGTTTCAGGCTTAATGGTAGGAGATATAAAAAGGAAGAGGAGTAAATGGAAAATTAATCCAGTGGATGATTGGGAGAAAAGTGAGACATCCACCTCATAATTTGCTTCTCTCTGAGAGTTTCCAAATTGCTCATTTATTTATGATGAGCTTGTTCCTGGATGAAAATTTTTAGAAGCCAAATTGCTTTCAACTCTCATCTCAGCTGTTTCATGAAAGCTTTCTTCCTCAAAGAAAGGAATTATGCTTAAAGCGGGAGGGAGATGTAATTTGTGGATGCAAGCCAATGCTTCCATGACTCTTTCCTTTCCAGGCAAAAGTCAAAGTTCTCTTGCTGATTGAGTGTCTCTCTGCCTCAGATCCGAACATTTTGCAATTGACATCAGCACCAAATGGAACTAAGACCTTAATTGGCTGTATTGTGTCATGAATTCTTTGGATGTCTGTTATTGTGTTGATAGATTTTGTTGCTTGGATAGTGATGGATTTTGGGAATATGTGATTACTGGAGTGTTTATTTGTCTATAGGAGTGTGCTGCATGCCGTTCGAGACCCTGGAGGACGCCCGCAGCGCCTATGGCACGGACGAAGATGTGATATTTGTGACACGAGACACATGCCTCACCACTGCCCTCTGATGGACTTTCATTATTATCCTCGATGTTCACAAACCTACGTGTTTGCAAAGTACTCTGACGATATAATTTTTTCCTTCGATCGGAAAATGCCATACGTGTGAAGTCGTGCTGGTTTGGCACTAGTGAAGACTGCAAAGACTTATGGAGAAGTGATGGTGTGAATCTCAAGTGTATCCATTCCAAGAGCTTATGATGAATCGTAATCTTCCCACAGGAGGAGTGCCTTTTGTCATGATCGCACACAATTATTGACAATTACCTCTATGTTAGCATTCAACTCAAGGGTAGCACTTTCTCCCTTTCTTGCCAAAGTGTGCCTGTTACTACCAGTGATCACGCACAGCATGGGTCGCATAGCTAGAGATGTGCACGCCACAAATAAATGATTTTTTTAATGAAAACACAGTCTTTAACCGCCTATTGAATCACAAATCGCTTATCAATCACAGCGCCCCCTGTTGACATGTGCAGCATGTGGCAGACAAGGGAACCAATAAGTTTTTAGCCCATAAACAGTTGATGCTCTGTCGAGCATCAACTGCGACTGACAGGTCCTAATAAAAAAAAGTTAAGACCAAACATATTCAGATGGTTACAAGTCACCATTCGACTTTGACCATATCCTGTAAATGGACACTTGGTTGCGGCTGATATTTGGCAGAGACCCATGGGCCTTAACCCTTTATGGGGCAAAAGACAGAAGTTCATTAAAATATTTCACATTTTATTTGCAGACTCCTTACATGCTATAGGGTGAAATCCCCAATGATGGGCCATGGCACAGAAAAAATTCCAAAAGTAGGCATTTGTCGCAGGCACACCTCTGAAGTGTGTATATGCTTCCATGTTGCCAGCCCATGTCACCGTAGTGGTATATGTGCTATGGAAGCTTAGCAGTTGGACTTTTTATGTGCTGTGGCCCATCACTGGGTATTTCACCCTACTCCACGTTAAAATTATGCGAATTGCGAGAAAAAAAAAAAGTTCCAACACCACATCTTAGCAATAATAATTCAAAGGCATGTGCGAGGCTGTTTTGCTCCGGTGGAAACGGCCGGATTAAGGGGAGGGGAAGAAGCCTCAAGAATCCAAGAAGCAACATCATCTTGCGGTATGGGGAAATGCTAGTGTAGTTATACACCCAAGTACGGAGACAACAGCAATGAAACAGGACTTCCGGGGCGGGGTGGGTCCCATTTCAAAATTTTGCATGTGGTGCCTGCGTGGAATGCTAATCGGAGCGGGTTGTCATCGAAGACGAATCGGAAGCATCGGTAGTCGTGATGATCAGCACGACGAAGCTTCCAAGAATTTTACACACTGGAAGGGTGACAACTTGTGACTAGTAGGAAGCGAGAGACCTGTTCGACAGACGATGGTCCAAACCCGACTTGGACCCTGGGCATCCGAGCTCTCTTTATAAACCCTTCCCCCCCCCCCCCCCCC